GTGTGTGTGTGTGTGGGTGTCTGTGTGTGTGTGGTTTTTGACAGCAAAATGAATTTTGCGGCAAGCCGCGTAATTATTTTATGCCCTCGGCCAAACAAAGCTCACGCCCCCCCCTTCCTGTCACAGCGCTCCGCCCCTGGCCCTGCCGCAATATATCAAGAGTTGAGGCAAACGTTTCATGTTTATAAACGAGCAGCAGCCGCAGCTACACACTCATACACCCACACACTCAAACACCCAAACCCTGCCCATTATTATTTATGCGTATGCATGGACTTATCCTTGCGAGCCACACACACACACACTCTCACACACACTCTCTCTCACACACACACACACACACAGCCCTCTATGCATGCTAATTAAAATTCAGGCATTGGCGCCGCTTTGCATAGCTTGGTAATTTGCTTGGCCAGGGCCAAACAGCATGAATATTTGAATGTGGCTGCCATTCATCGACAGTTTAGGCCAACGTGCAACTATGTCAGGTGGGTGGGTGGGTTGGCTTGCTCAGGTAGCATGTGGCATGAGGTTTGGATAATGTTGGCTAAGGCGCAAGCACAGAAACTGAAATGTCAAGAAATAAGGTTTAGCAACGGCACGCCGAAGATTAAATACCCTTGCAGAAGTGTGAAGCGAGCAATTGCTGCGTTTGGTCAAGATTTCTTGAGAACAAAAAATGCTTACATACAAAATCTCATTTACGAACTATTATTCCTCTAGCAACTATATGATATAATACTCCAATCTGACAGAATCCGACTCGAGCGAGATTAGATTGTATGAAAATAGACAAACGGACATGGCTATATTCGCTCACTCGCAAAATTATAATACCCGCTACAAGGGTAGACACAAAGCAGGGTATTTAAAACAACAACAACAATATGTGCGACAACTCACCCTCACCCCCTGCTCCTCCTGAGCGTATTTCTTGATTTCACGCTCCAAATCAAGCTGTGGGCCAGAATTGAGAAGGTTCAGTTTGGTTTTTTTTTTCTATATTATTTTTATTGTAGTTCAGAGGGCAAATGTATGCCACAGACGAACTGGCGCCAGTTAAATGCCCATAAATGTTGTTAATATAAAATTCATACACACACACACACGCACACACACACATAGAGAAAATAGCTTAGATATGCGTGCGCCAAAGTTATGCAAGGCCTGGCAATAGCAGAAGTCTAAGGCACAAGCTGGATACTAAGTATTAATATGTGTGCTACGGGCTGACTTAGTAGCTGAGCTTAAAGTTATTTCAGTTCTCAAAAGTCTAGCAATTAAGTCGGAAAGACTGGGAAGAGCTTCATATAAATGCTTAGACTCGTAGGAAAATAAAACTACAGCAGGAGTGCGAACTTCGAGAAATAATTGTTGTCTAGAAATAGAAATCTAAAAGATTAAAGGACTTGTGTCTTATATACAAGCATTTTTCCCTATGATTATAACATATTCAAATTGTTTTCTGCTTAAAAAAACACACTTATTTTCATATTGAAATAGGAAAAAATGTTGCTCACAGGGATTTGAACCCCAAACTTCATACCCAGTCCTTCGCCTCAGGCTCTTTAGATAAGCAGCGCAAAGTTTCTCCCTAGCCTAAGCTCGTTTTTCAATGGCTTTCTGGCTTATTGAGAATTTCGCTGGCAGCACTTAATAAGTATAAAACAATGCATTAAAGTTGCGACAGCCTTGGATAAGTTTTGCGTCAGGTTTCAACTGAGCCGCGCGTTAGATAACAACTATTAATTATAGTTGACATAGCCTTTTGTTTTTCGGTTTTCTATTTGCGCCATGAAAGCCTTTTAACTAAAAACTGAACATGTGCATATGGGAAATGCAATTGGAATAGAGGCAACAACAACAACAACAGCAACAACAAAAACAAAGGCTAGAACTGACCTCGACCCGGCGAACGGCGTTGATTGCTCGCTTTTGCCGCCGTTGCACGCGGCGTATACGCAACGCAGCTGCCAACTTTTTTAATTGCTCGCCCACTCTCTCGATAAAAAACAAAAGAAAGCCGAAATAACTGTAGTAAAATTCGTACGTTTTTCCTTCTTGTTTTGTAAAAATTGGGTATGTGCAATCGGAATAAAAAATTATCTTACAGAATTTTAAAGCCAATTGGGTTATAAAAGGTTTACTCATGTTTTTCGTGTTTACGGATGAAGCTGTTCAATTTAATATAGTGCGGATTACTTCTGATATTCTCTTTGATAAGAGTTGTCCAAAAATATATTGCCACGCCCGATAATTCCCTTGTTAATAAATAAGATTTGTGTCTTCATAGTTATTATCCACATCGAGAGCTATCGACTATAGACTTAAATATATCGAAAGTTCCCACAGTTCCTGCAAGTTGATTATAATTGATTGTCAGCCTTGGTCTTATTTGAGAATAAAAACTATTTTTCCTGAAATCGATAAATATCGATAGGCCATTTTGGCCTTATTTAAAGATATCGATAAATATCGTTAGATAGCCTTGGTCTTAATTAAAAACATCAATAAATATCGATAAGCAGTCCTGGCCATATTTAAGGAAATCTATTAATATCGATTGTCAGTCTTGGTCCTATTTAATGATATCGATAAATATCGATAGTCCGTCTTGGTCGTATTTAAGGATATCGATAGTCATTATTGGTCCTATTTAAGGATATCGATAAATATCGATAGACCGTCTTGGTTTTGTTTAAGGATATCGATTAATATCGCTACTCAGCCTTAGTCTTATTGAAGCATATCTCGCAGATTTTAAGATCTAGTTCCGCCGGAAACAGGGTAACTTGCAGTGGAGCAGTTTTATATAGAGACTCCTCTTGTTTTTTCCAACTATTTGTTATTGTTATTTCCGCTTGCCACATTTTGAACTGAGGATTTTTAATTACAACTGTCGCTGGTTATTTCACTCGTTTGTTCCGGAAAACCGGAGACAAATTCATTTCGTGGAACGCCAAACGCTGCCCCAAGGCGTGGCCGACTTTCAATGGGCCAATGCGAAATAAATATATATATATATGCATATATATATTTGCGACAATTGCGACAGTCGAATGCTATTCGAGTTGTGTATTCAAGCATTCAGTCGATGCGTGAATAAAATGTGAATAAATTGCCAAGTGGGCAGCTAGCCAAGAGACAGTTGGAAGCTATAAGAGGAGCTGCCTTAAATAAGTAGCATATCATATGGCATCAAGGTTATTTATGCCCTCTCTCCCTCTCTCTCTACCTCCCTCTCTCCCTCCCTCTCTCTCTCTGTGCGTGTTGTGCGGCCTTTTTGTATGGTCCGACGCCTTTGTTGACATGCTCTGGACAACGGCTAGCCCTTATGTGGCCTGAAACTGTGGCTTAATACATGGCATTATGTGTACGCATGTTATCTATGGGCTGGCATGCGAGTAATTATAGAGTATAGCTCTGCTTGTGTGTGTGTGTGTGTGTGTGTGTAAGTAATAAGCAGCTGCCCCGTTTTGCTGTCCTTGGGGACAGATGAGTCAGAGTATTGTCAAACGGGTACGGGCGAATTTTCAGTAGATTTCCCACAGGGCACTGCCGCATATGTCCTGGGGCTTGAATGCTCGCTTGCAGCACAGCTTGAGTTTTCGTGTATACCCTGTTCGAATTACAAAGGGGTATACGTGTACTTCGTAATCTTGATCAGCTCGCTGAGTCTGTATCTATCTACATGTCCCTCTCACTCTCTCCAGAAACCCCGAAGCTGTTTTCCTGATGTCGATAAATATCGATTTGCATTTATCGCTTGCATTTTGCTTTCTAGATATATTTCCGTTTTAAAAAGAAGTTCAAATTTGTTTTGGGCACAGGGTATCGGCTAGTCGGGCACTCTTACTTAAACTTGTTTTGGTTTTTTTTGGGTGTCAATAAGCAAGAATTATGATGCAAATCGAATGCATTTTGCTTGTTGCATAACTGCGCAAGCAATAAAAAACAGGGTCAGCGGGGGGTGGGAGAAGGGGGGGGGGTACTGGGTGGCTGCTTTGGTGGTGGGGTTGTGGAAGGGGGGAGGGGCTGGTTGTCAAAAACAATGGCAAACTGTCTGCGAGATGTACTAAATGTATGCAACAAATTGAATTTTATTGCTTGCCCCACATTGAAATGCAGAGTGTGCGGCAAGGGGGAGAAGTGTGGAGGGGGGGGGGTGGCACAAAAGGCGTTGCAACTGATGAAATGACTAACAATAAGTGTGTGTGTGTGTGTTGGTGTGTGTGTGTGCTTAAAGAGCGCTTATAGCTGACTCATTTGCAATACGTAGAGAATTTTTCTTTTGTTTTTGTTTGGAAAACACAATGAAAAACGTTTCAAATTAATTAAACAACAACAAGAAACAACTACCAAAAACAAGCATGTGTGTGTGTGTGTGAAACTTATGACAAAATACTACGAACAAACTGCAAACTGCTAGCTTGAATGCTTAAGATTTAAGTTCAAGTTAAATTTATTAACTGGCAGTTAGTTCAAAGCAAAACGAAGCAAAAGTTTTTAAGAATTTTCGAATGCTAGGCGCTACAATAGAGCATATGCTGTTGTGTGTGTGTCTGTGTATTTGGTATTTTATGGATATCAATATATAAGTGTAGTGTATTTGGTATATTTAGTATTTTACTGGTATATATGGTATATATATACATAAATATGTAACGAGAAAACAAAAGTTAAGCACTTGCAGTCGCAAAAGTTGTTCAACATTAACTAAAAACAAACTATGAAAATTAGTATTTTTTCTTTTTTTGGTATTTAACGTTGTTTTTTGTATTTTTTTTGTAGTATTTTTTTAATTTTTTTTTTTTGGTGGTTTCGTGTACGAAATCATTGTCACTAGAGCATTTTGTTTGCCGCCAAAAACGAGAATTAGACAGAGAGAGACAGATATTCTCTGTTGGGCGTGGCGTGGCTTGGGGGGGCGGGGGGCGCGGCCGCCTGTTTTTCTCCAAGGCGCAAGGATATTTGTGTGGGGGGGGGGGCAAAGGACTTACCTGTTTCTGTGCCATCGCCTGCATTTGCTGGAACATTTGGCGCTCCTCCTCTTTGCCTGCAACCAAATGTGTGGCAAAAGTGTCCTATAGATATATATATTCATTTTCCCCCTCCCCCTTCCCCCGTCGGTAAGCGAGACTTACCCATGCCCTTGGCCTGCAGCATTTCGAGCAGCTTCTTGATGCTCTCGTCGCGCGCGATAAGCGTCTGCTTTTGGGTTTCCACACGGCACTCGAGATCCTTGATGGTCTCGCGCAATATGCTGATCTCGCGCTGCAGATGATCGTTCTCCGCGTAGATGGCCTCCATTTGCTGCTGCATCTCGAGATTGGGCTGGCGCATGCGCAGACGCAGCTCCTCCTCCAGCTGACGCACGAGCATCGCTTGTTTCTGCGTGCCAAGAGTCGAGTTAATTAACTAGCTGCTCACCTGTATTAGCTGTCAGTTGCTCACCTGATTCTCAGTGCTGAGCAGCTTTAACTGATCGTTGATCAGACTGTACTTGGCGCTCTCCTCCTTGCGCAGCGCCCGCTCCTTCTTCAGCTCCGGCGACCAGAAGGTCTTGATGCTGTGCATCGAGCTGCCCAGCTTTTGATTCGTCAGCTCCAGCTCGCGCTTCAGATTGCCCAGCTCACGCTGCAGATCCGTATTCTGATGCTGCAAATCCCCCAGATAGGCACGATCCGATGTGGGCATGCCCGTGTTATAGCCTGGTCAAAGATTGAGTAGGGTATCGTTAGAACTCTGTGCGGCATATATGCTATCCCAAATTTTTATATATTTATTTCCTTATTAATTTAGTTAATTAATTAAGTTAATATTTAATCAATTATATGAATTATTTCCTTCCTTTTTTCAGGCATTTCAAGGATAATACTTGGTAAGCTGACACATTTTTATATTATATACATATTAAAACCTTTCCTAAAACATAAGCGTGGTATTTCTTAAATTGATCTCTTGAGAGTATCACGAATGGAAGATCCATCAGAAATATTGTAGAATAATGTCTGAAAATGCTCGACAAAATTCCAGACAGAATCTTTACTAACGTCGGGCTTGACGTTCTCCTGCTTGGGGGAACCTACGGTCTTAGCTAAGGTTTCTTTCAGCTCAATCCCAATGCATCCCAATATAACCTATATTTTTATATCATATGCATAAATAATCTTATGTATACATATATATATATTTGTATCATATACATATTTAAGCCTACGACATATCGGCAACCTAAGGCTATCCTAAATGAATCTCTTGAGAGTATCAGAAATATTGTGGAATAATGTTTGAAAGTTCTCGTCAAAATTCCTGACAGAATCTTTAGTAACGCGGGTCTTGACGTTCTCCTTCTTAGAGGAATCTCTGGTCTTAGCTAAGGCTTCTTTTTGCCCGAACCCAATCCATCCCAATATATTACCTACAGCTTAGATTTATATAGTAGATCGTGACTTACCTCCTAGCGCATTGGGACTTTGTCGCGCCGAACGGCCGTACAGTTCGTCCTCCAGGTAGAGTCCTCTTTCCAGGGATCTGTCCCGGGAGCGATCACGCGGCTCTCGTATGGGAATGAATTCACGTTCATGCGGATCCACAAGGCCGCCGCGATCGAGCGACTGATAGCGGGTTCCTGTTGAGTGTTAGCAAAAATATAGATAGATAGTAGATTATAAGGATTATAGGGTATAGGGCAGGATGTGGATGTGTTATAGATGTGGGCTGGGTTATTACTTGGATAGTCCATGGCATGTGACATCGGTGGTCTGCTGGCGCTGCGGCTGCGATGGTGTCCCGCACCGGCGGGACTGGTTGGCTCATCCATGTCGCGGTAGTATGGACTGCCCATTGCTGAAATTCACACAGAATTCATGACGATGATCAAATGAGGATGACGGGTTCGGTATTTGTTTTTCTTTTTCGTTTTGTTTCTGCTTGAGTGTGAAATCAGATCAAATGAAGAACGAAATCATAAATAAACCGGTTCATATGTAAATCAAGAGCTGGAACTAGTTTGTATTTTTTTGTTGTAGTAGATGAAAACTAGTGCAGTGTTGTGTTATTTTTTCCTTTGCTCAGGAATCAGTTGTTGATTGCGCTAAAGCTAGTTCGTGTCGCTCATACTGAATTATGCAGTTACTATATGGTATAATAAAAAACGGGCTAGTTGAAAGGAACGCAGGGAACGCAAAAACTCAACATCAACGTAAAATGTTTGTCGTGTATCGCGCGCGAGTTGCGCGCTGCCTCCTTCGCCATATAAAATGGCTCATAAACTAGCTACTTTGTTAGCCAATCCCCCCCCACTCACTCCTCTCACTCCTCCGCCCTCCCCTTTGGCCTTGCTGCAGCAGCGCTGTGTGATTTGTGCATCGTTCCCGGGGCGGGTGTGTGTGTGTGTGTGTGTGTGTGTGTGCGCGCCATAAACTAAACTTTTTGCCTCAGCATGAGCTGAACATTTTGCACGTAACCAGCCAAGCCACACGAAACTTAATTTGTGGCTCTTTGTTGTGCCGTGTCCTTGCGCATCAGTGTTGCCCGATTTTCTTTTTGGCCATTTTTAAAGCTAATTTTAAGGCTAAGCTAAATGCTACTCAAAGTACGAATAATTTGGAACTGTTTCCCAAAGCACTGAATTTCGATTGCTTAGTCTCAAAATGTTATCCCAAGTCTTCTGAAATTTATAAATATAAATATACTAATTTTTAGATTTTGATGTTCTCTATGGAACTGTAACATGAAGCTTGCAGGAACATATCTGATATTTTAGTTCGGTTTCCTTTACTAAAACTTATCTGATCACATTTGCTTTCCTTAATTTTATGCTACTTTCCTGACTTCACTTTAAAAGCGTTCGTAAATTTATGTGGGGCTAAAAATTTGCCAACCCTATGGCTCGACTTTATTAAATCATAAATTCTCAAGTGTTATTTATGGTGCTATGCCTTAGCTAGAGGGCAATAACAGACGCTATTTTGGTCGTTCAGATAAGTTGAAACTCTAATTAGTTGGTCGCGAGTTAAGAAGTTTTTTTTTTTTATCATTTGAGCATGTGTAGAAACTACGCTCAATTTATGGCCAATTTGTGTACTCAATTAAGCGGTGTTTTATTGAATTAATGGTCGAAACTGTGGGTTCAAACAAAGTTGGCGCCCAACGTGAGTCACTAACAAACTTCGTCGGCTGTGGAAAAGCGAGCATGTAATGAATTTAGTGAATGTTTTCTGTCCGTTATGGTAATTGCATTTGAGTCTTGTATTTTCTATGAACTGAACGGGTTTTAAAAAAAAGTTGGCGCCCAACGCGTGCAACTAACTTTTTAAAGTGGAGCCTGTAATGAGTAAAGTGAATGCTTGCTAGTCATAATTGCCATTCAGTTAAATGCTTTGATTCTCTCTGATAGTTTTTCATTTTATGCATGGTCTGAGCTTTATGGTCAAACCGTTGTTGGCGCCCAAAGTGAGTCAGAAAGAAGCTTTGTTGAAAAGTGAGTATGTTCAGACTCAGGTGAATGCTTGCTAGCCATAATTGTAATTCACTTTGAGCCTTTGATTTTCTGTGATAGTTTGTTATTTTATTTATGGCCTGAGCTGTATGTCAGTTGGCGCCCAACGTGAGTCACAAACGAACTTCTTCGCTTGTTGAAAAGTGGTGAGTGCGTTATGACTTAAGGGAATGCTTGCTAACCATAATTGTAATCCAGTTTGAGGCTTTGATGTTCGGTAACGCTTCAGAAGGAATTAAATTTAGCTTGTTGTGGCAACTCGAGGTCTTTGCTGGCTGCTGCTAAAACCAACTGCTAGCCATTTTCCTAGTCAGGTTAATGCAATTTACAAGTTAACTGCTGCGGCTAGAGTTGATTTAGTTATAGAAATTGATTTGAAATTTTGCAAAGTTCAGTATGCAAATACGGGTTGATTTAATGCATTTATAAAGCGCAACGTTTTCAATTTCCAGTGGAAATGTATGTGAGTATGTGAGTATTTGAGTGTGCGTGTGTGTGTGTGTATGTTATATTTTTGTTGGTTTAACGAAATAAAAATTGTTACAGATTTTGCAGATGAGTTAAGCCAAAACGTAAAATGTACCATGCGCATGCGTGTGATGTTAGACAGAAATTATAGATTTTAGTATTAAATTTTGCATTAGTTTAATTAAGAAACTACAAAGAGCACAAACTAAAAGCATTTTATGGAGTTCTCAAATGAAATTTCGTCGACGAAAGTTTTAATTTACAAAACTCAACTTCTAGAGTCTTAGTCGCAAAAATGTTCTTAATGCCAATTTATAGTGCTCTCTGCGCATACATAAATGCAGTCTTTATGCATGCAATAGGAGCAATAAATTTTGATAAAAATAAATCAATTCCTAAGCTAAGTAGGCCAATTGGGATATGTGAAATTATATGCATAATTTACGAGATTCTCTTTGTCTCTCTCTCTCTCTCTCGCACAAACGTGAGCAGCTCTTTTGTATCTTGTAGATACTTTTTTTTTCTACGTTTGTGCTTGAATATAGCTGGCGAATATTTAAAGTTAAGCCAGCTTTAGTTGAAGCCACTAACTGATAGATTAGCTATATATATACATATATATTTTATATTTTTTTGGTTTTTTTGTTCACCTAATGGACTTCCGCGTGCGCCGTAATCCCGTGATGGTGAGCGATCGACCGTTGGCAATTCCTGGAGCCGACGCACGCGACCCGGACTGCGCACACCAGAGCTATTCACTGGATTATAATCGTCACGTGACATAATCCGCGGCTCATCCGCGGCATGCACCCACGCAGTTGTTGTTCTTGTTGTTGTTATTGTTGTCTGTGTAGTTGTTGTTGTTGCTGCTGCTGCTGCTGTTGTTGTTGTTCTGGTTGTTGTTGTGGCTGTCCTGTTAAATGCTTCGTTTGATTGGATTTCTTTGGTTTGTCTGCTCTAGATTGATATGCACGTTTTGATTGGCTTTTTTTTTTGTATTGGTTCTATGTTAAATTCTTTCAATTGCTCGCGCGCTTGGCTGCATCTGCAAGAGTGAGAAGTGAAAAAGAACAAACATGGTACAAAATAAAGAAGGCATACACCGCAAACACAGACAAGATCTTATGCACCATACCATACATATATACATATATTACGCATACGCCCCGTCTCGCACATATCCAAGATCTTTCGCATATAACCTATATACATCCCGTTTTGTATACAGATAGAAAATATATACCATATATTCAATCATATATAACGCATACGCCCCCATGTTTTCTCGCACACAGCTAAGATCTGTCGCATATAGCATATATACATCCCGTTTTGTATACAGATAGAAAATATATACCATATATTCAATCATATATTACGCATACAATGGTTGCACACAACCAAGATCATCTTTCGCATTATCATATGTACGTCCCGTTGTGTGTATACATATAAAATCATATATTACGCATACGCCCCCATGTTTTCTCGCACACAGCCAAGATCTGTCGCATATATCATATATACATCCCGTTTTGTGTACATATATACAATCACATATTACACATACGCCCCGTCTCGCACAGAGACGACCGCCTTTAAGCATATTCTGTTTTGCATTTAAATTAGACTACATCAACTAGCATATCCTTAACCTTTTTACCTAAATCTCAGCCAACAGCAGCTGCTGCTGCTGCTGCTGCTCAGCCACAAAACGCATAAGCAAATAAACCCAACGGAGAGCTTTAGAGAAATGTCGAGAGCATTGCATTATGGCAGCTCTCGTCCGCTCTCTATGCAAATTTTGTTTTCTATTTAGACAAAACAAATCGCATGCAAATTGCCACTCGACCAAGTCGCTGCCAAGAGGAGTCGCACTCGGTTGAATACACACACACACACACACAGAGGCACATCCAGGTAGATGATGCGTATGAATTACAACGAGGGTGGAATCAGTAAATATCTGAGCTTAGTTTTATTCAATAAACCAAATATTATTGCATATAATTATTAAGTCGCCAATATATCAATTTGTGCTGCATAAGCAAGGAACTAGGTTGTATCTATAAGTATCTATCATCTATCATCTATTTATCTACGACTGACTCCTGGGTCTTAAAGGGTTTTGGCGAATATGTCGTCATCAGCCTGCATGGTTTTGGTGTTTGGCCTAACAAGCGTGAGGTTGCTGGTTCAAATCTAGCTACCATTTTTAAAGAAAAAGTCCATAGGCGCCCAATAATTTTAATATTTATTCGATAAAGTAAAACTCTAGACTATCTAGACTCGAAAAGTCCATAAGCTGCCAAGATCTTAATATTTATTAAATAATGTAAAACTCTAAGACTATTAAGGTTGGTCTGATATAGTTTTATAAAGCAACTAGACTCTAAATTAAAGCTTGGGCTTTGTGAGAGAAAAACTTAGAAGAGCTTAGAAATTCGCAAAGTAAATGAAATATGGTTAAAGCAGATCCCCAAGCCGAGCAGTTTCAGCATATAATTAAATTATTTAGATATTAAAAAGAATCAGTTTAGATATTAAAAGAATCAAAAAGATCAGACTAGACTGTTGATATTGAATAAGAATATATATGCGCTAGATGAATTCAGAGGTTTTTCTTTAAGGTTTCTCTATTAAGGCCAAAGGAAAAACTAAGAGCTTAGCTAATTTGCTCAATAAAAACCTGAATTATTAATACAAAAAAAAAGAAACCTTTAACAACCCTCGCTCGCCAGGAGATAGTCCGTGTCGGGCTGCGGCACGTGAAGGTAAGACGAGTCTCACGGTTTTTTTCTCCCAGGCACTCACGGAAGGGCTAAAGAAAAAAGTGAAGTGCAGCCGGGCAGAGCGCAGGCAGGCAACTACTGAATGCGTCGCTTTATGAATGGCTAAAGCAATGGCTAAAACGAAAGGAAGAGAGAAGAGGGCGGGGCGTGTGTGTGTGTGTGTGTGTGTGTGTGTGTGATGGGGAACTGTGGCAAGCAACGGCGACTAAATAAAAGCTAAACGAATCAGCAGACCGGAAGACCATTCAAATGTTTACTTGCATGCCTGAGCAGGCTGCGAGTGTGTGTGTGTGTGTGTGAGTGTGAGTGTGAGTGTGTCGCCTGACTGCCCATTTACGTGACAGCAACAACAACCACAACAACGACGTGCCACATATTGGTGCACAAGCCTTGCAGCTACAGCTATCAAGATGAGGTCAGGATCTGACCAGGATTCGATTACATATCCAGCCCGGCCATTAGGGCCAGCACTCAGCTAGGCAAACAAAGCACACACAAACACACACACACACACACAGCATCTACTGTTAGTTATCTATGCAGGCAGCTCAGTTTTCTTCTTTTTTCTGCTGCATACTTTCAGGCGCGTCGGTATTTTTATCCACTTCCGGCTCCGGGCAAGCCGCATTTGCAAATGCATTTGATGACGAATTCATGTACTATTGTTGTCTATGCGCTCGCAGCTATTACAGTCGACACACTCGTTGGCGTTATCAGCGCCTGTGTCCCCCCCCTCCACTCTTTCCCCTGCCCTACCGACAGCCCGTCCCCCCCGCACACAAACATGTTGAATTTGTGGGGCAGTCGTAGCTGCTATTCACCACACGCATTTGCGCAGCTGCGGCGCTCAGCAAGAGAAGCAACACACACACACACACACACACACACACACACGCACACTCAACACACACACACACATACACATGTGACGATTCAACAATAGCGTCATCGTAAAGTATTTGCCGCATATTTTGTTGTTGGGCCTTTGGCGGCGTTTTTTTTTTTTTTAACATTTTCTTGCTACATGCTTAGCGCTCTATGCTGCGAGACGCACGCACACTCACACTCACACACTCACACACGCACACACACACACACTTTTGCAATGGCAGCCCAAATAAGGTTAAAATTTGAAATCAATAAAAATTATTCCACTCATCTAAAATTAGAAGCAAGACTAAGGCAAGGCAAATGCCTGAGAGAAAATGGAAAATGTAACTGTAACTAAAACCAAAGCAATGCCCACGCCCCCGCCCCCGCCCCCGCCCCCGCACGCCCCCTTTCCCTCCCAGAACAAAAACAAACACGCAAAGCGTTTAAGGCAGGCCTACAATAAGTAGGCGTGGCTGTAGGCAGTATATGAAAATATATAAAAAAAGGAAATACTCATTAGATTCCTCTGTCAATGCGCCGTCTGTGTGTGTGTATACTCGCATGACAAATCATGCGAGCTGCCTATTGTTACGCCCCCCCCAACCCCCGCCGCCCTTAAATGATGGGGGGAAACACGAGTTTATTCTGGGCATATGCACAATTGCCTTTCGTGTGAAGCCGCATCTAATTAAAAGCTTTCAATTGGCAAACAAACAAAAAATTGGAAAAAAGTTATCAAGAGAAATAAATGGGAAAAAAAAACCAATTAAATTTGAGAGACAATTTGACAGCTAGTCTAAATATAAGCCTAGCTAATGAAAGATATAAAAAACAATGAAATAATTCGTTAGCTAAACTCTATAAACTACTTAAGGCTAAGCGCAGGAGGAGCTTAAAAGACTAGGCACAACATTTTGTTAGGGCGCTAAAACTAAATTGAAATCAAGTTAAATGCAAATTAGATAAATATCAATAATTATGAAAATAGGTCAAGAATGCTTAAATGTTAATAATTATTAAAAATAAGTCTAAGAAATACTTATTAGCAGTTAGTTTAGGTAAATACACAATATACAATGCACAATACGCATACACATACAACCGAGTATATATATATATATATATGTATATATATATACAAGCATAGTTGGAATAATTTAGATACTTAGTTCGATCTGGTCGAGGGGGAAATTTATTATTATTTATATGCTTACTCAAGACATACGCAGGAAATGAATAGAGCTTATAAAGTGCGTGTGTGTGCGTGTGTGCCTGTGTGTGTGTGTTAGTGTGTGTGTGTGTGTTGTCTTGATCGGAACTGCATTAGCCTCGATATTAGATATATATATATATATAGACTAGATATAGCTGCTGCTGCTCACCCGCTTTGCTTAGACGATGAATTTTGAATGCTTGAAGTGTGAACGCGGCGTATGAAAATTAATTATATATTTATATGCTCCAGCTCCAGTTCCAGTTCCAGTTCCAGTTTCAGTTCCTGGCTTCAGTTCCTGGTTTCAGTTCCAGCTCCAGCTCCAGTTACAGTTGCTGCACTCTGCACCTTAAGCTCAACAATTTTCTAGCTGCAATTTTTCACACACGCAACACAGCGGCATCTGTCTCTGTCTCTGTCTGTGTGTGTGTGTGTGCGTGTGTGTGTGTGTGTAGGCGTGCCGCTGCCTGCCGCTTGTCTTAGCTGCGCTGTTGTTGTTGTTGTTGCTGTTGCTGCTGCTGCTGCTTTCAGGCGGCGCTAAGTGCATTTCCGTTTCCGCTGAATTTTCGCATTTTATTTATTTGCATTTTTTTCTCAACTTTTTTTTAATTTGAACTTTTGAACTTTCACTTGCTGCTGACTAATTGCATTTTGTTAATAGCCGCTTGTTAGTTAATGCATTTAATTATTTTTTATGTATGTACATGGCTGTTGGGGGTAAAACAAACACACGCACACCGCACTTTGGTTAAACTCTGTTGAACTAATTTTGTTTCATCTTGTTGCTGCACAGTTAATTAAAGCACATTATTATAATACATATATATTTATTTTTTTATTATATATACATATATATTTTTTGCTCGTGTTGTTGCTCGAGTGCTGCGTGCTCAACGAGTGATTTATAAGGTTCGACGCGAAGTTGGAGTTGGGTGAGAGCTGCCGCCCGCTCTGCGCTCTTTTTTACGAGCCAGCTACTGACACACATTTTCACGCACGAAGCGCCCACACACACCAGAGAGAGAGAGAGAGAGTGACAGATAGAGAGAGAGAGAGAGGGGGGGCGAGTGGGAGTCAGCGCTTCATGGTGGAGTTGCCGGAGTGTGAGCGCTACGTCGCGACGTAGGCTGCAACGTAACGAGACGCAAACGTAACGAAACCGAACGGACCACTAACGAAGCTAACGACATAAGGGCAGAGCCACCCCCCCCCCCCTCCTCCCGCCCCCTGCCGCAGCAGAATACAACATTATGTTACAAGCCCCCCTCCCCCGCGACCCTAACCCTAACTTCAGACTGCACTGTATGTGTGAGTGTGTGTGTGTCTACTGTTATACAGCTTATTGCTGTTCAAACTTATTGTATGTGTGCGTGTGTGTGAGTGTGTGTGAGTGTGTGTGTATCTCACACGCTTTATATGTAGGTTGAAGCAATTTATAATAATTTTTTCTTCGCCAATCGATATGCAGCGATATTTAGCACGGGGCCAATAATGTATCGAATCGGGCCGACTTTCTTCCCCTTCAGTCACATTTAGTCGCTCGTTTATTCATGGTTTATTCATTTGATTCATGGCTGCACTCATGAGCTGTCACTTTGAATAGTTTTTCCCAGTATTTTGTTATAGTTTCTGTTTTAGCAAGAGGCGGCGCGTGCACATTTTGCAGGAAATCACTTTTCTGTATCCAGGGAGCTGTGTCGCGGCCTAAAGCACAATTGCTGCTACACACGCACACACACACGCACACACACACGCACACACACACGCACACACACACACTCCAGCACACACATATACACATTATTTTTCTTTAAGCCAACTTTTCGCATTTCATTTTCAAATATTTCTTAATTTTTTACACACGATTTCCTTTAGCTTTTAGCCTGCACATTTTTTAGCCTTTTTTTTATTGGTTGTTTTTTAGCTGCCAGGCAATTAAATTGGCCTTTTTTTTTGTTGCTCAGTTGCTGCTGCTGCTGCTGTTTTAGTTACTGAAGCAGCAGCAGTTGAAAGATACATATACTCTGTGTGCATGTGTGTGTGTGTGCATGTGTGTGTGTGTGTATAATCTAACCCAAAAAATTGTTGTGCGGCAGCTGGTTGCTGTGGGGCCCGTTTTGTCGGCAAAGCCGTTGTCCAACTAACTACCCTCAAAGTACTGAGCGCCGCTCGTCCGTGCCAGTCGCTGTTATAGTCTTCGCCATAGTCATAGCCAAAATCGTAGTCGTAGTCCGTGCTACCCGTCGTCGTCGTCGTCGTTGCGTGGTGAGTTTTTCGTTAATGTCAGTACACGCTCCCCCAATAGGCTGGCCAGAACTATATTGTGGAGCTCTCTCCATTCGGCGCTTCCTGATTGCAATCAATGAATTTTCATCGCGCGAGCGCAGTTTTCCTTTCTCTCGCTCTCAGTCCCCCAACATACTTTCTCTCTCTTTCCCTCTCTCTCTCTCTCCCTTTCTCTTTCTCTTTGATAGTTGTATTTGGTTTTGCGTTTGGTATTGTGCGGCTAAATGAAAATTCCAATAGCAAAATATGAAATATGCGCGTACAAATTCCTTCACAACGGCGACTGTCATGCGATTTGCTTTACGTTTTAGTTGCTAACGTTACGTCGTTGGTGGTTAAACTGCTACGTAAGAAAATTCAAATTGTTACGTCTCTGTTTGCGCTTTCGCTTGGGCCTGGCAATGCTGCATTTAAATGCCCGCCCTAAAAGTATGCTATACTTGACATCAAATATGGCAAATATGGCAAAAATTTTGGATTTCCAAACAAAATCAAAAGTCGGGATCCGTACAACAAGAAAGAGGCATATATCATTTCGAAATCAGACATATGCTACCCGAGATATTTCAATTTTAATTTTATATCAAAAATAAGTCTCAAACTTATTATGTAGACAGCACGAAAGTATGCAGTACTACTAAAATTCTGCTAAAAACCGCTACAAACGGCTATAAACGGCTGTAGCAATTAATCTGAAACTAAATTATATTCAAAAACTAGTAAAAATCTAGGTTATAAAAACAATTCTCATTGCAAACAGTTCACTCTTGGTACAAACAAATTTGACCCCTGTCCTTAGGTATTTTATATGAGTAAAAATGATCCTTCAAAATTTTAATGTAGAGTTAAGGTAAAGGGGTCCACTGTAAACGAAAAGTCATTCCCCATGAAAATCGTTCCAGTTTTGGCCAAATTGTGGAAATGGTGAAAACCGACCTCGGCCCATATTAAAAATATTCTTTCGGCTTCTAGTTTTTATGTGAAATTTATTCCTATATCAAACCGTGAACAAGAAGCCATATTTCATATAAATCACCTTATTTAAAACATACGAAAGAGCTTAAAGTGGAAAAGCTTTAAAATAATGAGCTTAAAGTATGAAGTTGGCAATGTTAATTATATTCCCATAGATTGGGCTTTAAGAGTTTTGAGAATGAGGTTAGAAAATTGAAATTCTTTGGATTTGTTATGCAATTGGCAGCTTTAAGTATGCTTTCAGGAAAAGAGAAGCTTTAAGTATGAAATCATAGATCATATGGTTCATGAGATTTATAATAATTAGACATGTACATATATGCAAACGTAATTAGGTACTTACTTTAATCACGAAGAATTTAATTATAAAAACAAGAAATTGTCAAGCGAAATCTTTAACGTTACTATAACTATTTATTCGGAAATACCTGTGTGTGTGTGTCTTTAAGTTTGAGTGTGTGTGTGTAATACATTATTTTCGCATATAATACTAAGAGTCGTTATGAGCTAACTAAGTAATACTAGCAACATTCGCATCTTTAGCTCTGGCTCTGGCTGTGGCTCTGGCTGCGGCTTGGTTTTTGTTTATTTACAAGTGAACTCCTCGTAACTCTCGTCGCACTGCTCGCACTCGACTTGGCAGCACCAGCGGAATTGGCAGCGGCACTGCTCGCTGCGCTCTATGTGTTGTGTGTTGTGGCCACGCCCACAGCACAAAAGATCACAGCTCTGGGGTCCGTGGCCGGTGCGATTGCAAATTCGGCCCGTTGTGCCCAAGGTGCCCGTCTGAATGCTGCGCTCGCAGTAATTGGGCGATGCCGCCAGATAGACCAGCTCCAGGCGCTTGGGCCCGACCAGCGTCGGCTTCTGGGCCGCCAGGTGCTTCTTTCTAGACAAGCAGAGGAAAGGCTTGTAGACATTAATTTTTCTTGATAAGATTCTCGCGCTCACCTGCTTAATACTAATCTCAGTCCGCGTTTGCCTCTGACGGCTTGAACAGTTTTGGCTTTGTGATATTTCTGCATTAGCTTGTCGCCGACCAGGCGAAATGGCGGCAAGCTCTTCCAGCAGGTTTTCATCACGCACGAGCCGCTCACGCCATGGCACTTGCAGTCCGTGCGCAGCAGCTTCTTGATCAGCTGAAAGTCAAAAGTTAATCGTTTATTTTTTTATACAAATTATGCATACGCACCGTGCGCCCCACGCGATTATTGTGCAGATTCATGAGCGTGCGCGCATCCCGCTCCAGTTCCCGCGCATCCGTAAACTTGCGCGTATATCGCATACCGAATTCCACATCCGCCGAACAGCCGCCCCACTTCCAGGGCTCCGGCGGCGGCGCCGTCTTGTGGCGCACATCGCAGCCGCACATCGAGATGTTGCCGCTCGCACAGGCGGCTGTCACCGCATAAGCCGCTCCAGCGCTGGCTATGGCATACGTGTAGGCCGCCTCCCTAGAAGCTGCCAGAGAGAGAGAGGAAAGGTATCAGAGTTGCTGCTCTCCCAATTTCTTCTTCTTATCTGCCCACCTATGGGTATGACATGGGCGAACACATTCCGCTGCCACACCTCCGAGCAGTTCCAGCGATGTCCCCGGAACTGATGCTGGCACTCGTGCGCCCCCCTCTGCTGACCCTCGCCCAGCGCGATCAGCGCATCGGGCATTTCGCTGCAGAGCTGCCGCTGACCCAGTGTCAGGCCCGGTATGCGGCCACAGAGCATGGCGGACGTAAAGCTGGATACTAATCTGACGAGAAAGCAGAACGTAAATACTCATATTAATGATGCCCTGTAAACGGGGGAATGCACAAAACTTGGCCGGGTTTTAAAAAAAGTATCTATAATGCTTACTAGAAGAAATTATTCGTCTTATGCAGATATTTTGCTGCTGGATTTGAACCAGCGACTGCCCGCTTATTAGTCTGATATTGAGATACAAATTTTAATATAACATTTGACCTATTTTGGTATTTGAGGTATTTTATCGTAACCAGGACTAAAACTCCAGTTGCTTTCACATATTTAAAATGCTGTCAACTGCATAATTTGATATTTTTATTTAATTTTAAGCTCTTACTTTGTTGTCAATATAAACTAGATACAATGAGCCCGCAGCTACGGCTAGAAGTATCAATAACAAAAACAATTGCAACTGCAGCCGCAACAGTTGCAAACAATAAATTAAATATGGCAAGAAAATATGCACAAACAAATGTGGATCGAACGATGGCGAAGAAATATTTACAAAAAAAAAAAAAAAGTCGTGCTCGGTGCTCAATAAATGCCGCCAGCGATCAATTCATTTCCATTTCAGTTGCCATTGCCATGGAAAAGCCGAACCAAGCCGAGAACTGGCCACGAGTCAACGTTTAGCGGCTAAACGTTTCAGTTGGCCAATGGAAAAGCAAATGTGCCGCATTCGAGCCAAGATTAATGCGTTCAATTGAAGCTGTTGTTGTTGCTGCTGTTGTTGTTGTTGTTGCTGTTGTTGGGGCAGGTGAGTGGCGTGCTTCGGGGGCGTAGACAGTTTTACTGTCAGTTTTAGTCAAAATAATGCCGCCAGCTATATTATTAGCCATAATTACATGCATCTCAGCGTCTAATCATGGAGAAGCTTAGCCATAGCCAGGCAGGTCGCAACAGTGTTGCCAGCTGTCGCTGCAAGGCAAATAGTAGCTAAAACCAATGTTGTAAAGTGGCTTAAAAAAAAAGCTGAATTGAAATTGACAAGCTGCATAGTGCAGCAAGCTAAAACTGCTTGTTTGGGCGAGGAAAGCGGCTAAAGCAGCTCAAAAATAGCCAGAGTGGCTTACAGCTGTCATTTGAGCTCGATTATGGCTGCATTTTAGCTAGTTTCTGGTCGAAATTGGCAACACTGTCGCCTAATCAAGGCTTAAATGCCAGACTTCAGCTCACAGTTTGCCGACTTAATGCGGCGAAATGCACGCTAATCGCAAATAGCTTATAGTTAATGCCAAATTGGATTAATCGAGTGCCTAACAATGACTTGCAAATTGCCAGCTCAGGAATTTCTCGCTAAAAAAAAATAATAAATATATATATATAAACCAAAATGTAAACAGCGATTTCTTATGAGAGTCATTTCGTGTGGAAAAAATTATGAAAAGCTTACGAAATTTAACTGCTAAAGATAGCTGTCCGTAATAGGGAGCTTTGACTGTATAACCTTTGCTAATATTCCATCGATCTATTCACAAATTGATGAAAAGCTAACTAAATTTAATTGGTAAAGTTACCTGTCCGTTATAGGGAGCTCTGACTGTCTAAACTTTTTCAATATTCCATTCGATCTATTCACAAATTGGTTCAGATATTTCTTTAGCGCTTTTACAGTTGGTCTTCTGAATATAAAGCAAGTCACTAGCGGTAATCGCTATTAAAGTCGTAGGAAGAGCATTGTGAATGGAATGTGTGGCCCGTGTAGCCACTTCCCACACACTCACACACACACACACACACACACACACACACTGTCGCACACTCAGCCATAGAATATGGCATACCAGAGGCACATTCATTGGACGCATAACGAGCAATTGTCTACCTGTCGATTGGCCAAGAAAAACCAATCAAACAGCTGCGCAGGCGCCCAAAACATGACGAAGCCATGATCAGCTCCATTTCAGATGAGAACAGAGCATGGAGCAGGGAGCAGGGAGCACAGGCAGCTGGAGGAGGCAGCACAGGCAGCTGGAGGAGGAGGGAGCACAGCTGTGTGCCACATCCTCGGGCCAAATGTCGATTTGCCAACTGGTTGTCAATTGGAATTGAGCAAAACGTTTCTGTCCACTGCTTTCGCCCATGTTTACAACGCATTTTTAATTGGGCCAATTAAATCAATTTACAGAAATTACAATGCTTACAGCAGGCGAAGCCCAAAGGTGGAACCAGCGAGATATCGAGCCCATGTGTCCTCGGGCGCAAACTGCACAAATTAACCCTTCAACTGGGCAGTAACACGGCAACTGGGAACGGCCAAAACGACCAACGACGATCGTTGTCAGTTCAATCTGCGTTGCAGTATACCCTGTACAAATTGAAGGTGGGCATATGGGGGTATAAACAAAAAGCGTGGAAAGTTATTTAAGGGGCAGCTTTGAGCTTCTCTTAATTATAATCAACAGATATGAAGCATAATATATTGAGTACTGACTACAGGGTATACGCTCGTTGAGCAGGCTTTACTCAGACACTCTCACTCATTGTTGCTGCTGCTGCTGCTGCTCATGACTTGTTGTACATGCTGTTAACATGCAGCCGAGCCCCGAAGTCCGAAATTGGTAGTAAACTAATAATTAGGCTCGTTTAACAGGCACGACCACGCGGATGGCCAGGATGCGATCGCCGGCTCGAACGGCAACAGCAACAACAACAACAATGAGCCACTGGCAATGCTTCAGTGGCCGCCAACAGCAGCAGCAGCAGCAGCAGCAGCAGCAGCAACCACCAAAACCGGCAACCTTCAACTTTAACTTTGTTAAACTACGTTGATCGATCTGTCAGCGCATCCGTTCGTCAGTCAGTCAATAGCTTTTCGTGCGTTCGCGCAGCGTGACCGTCATGCCCACCTCAATAGCAACAACAACAACAACAACAACAACCACTCAACAACAACATCAACAACAGGAACAACAGCAACAACAACAAATGGGCTATCGCTCTCTTTTCATCGGTGGCCTTTTGTCTTTTCAGCTTGTTCAGTTTTGTTCCACAAACATTTTGTTTTTTATTTGTTTTTTTTTTTTGGCCGTGCTTTTATTTAATTTGTCGCTGCCACTTGAAGCGCGTTGCTGCCGCATGTTGCTGCCGCCTGTTGCCTGTTGCATGTCAACGTCGACAATTTCATCATCAGCCTAGGCCCAACCTCAGCCTCATCCCCATTCCCATTCCCAGGTCCACTTACGCAGCCAAGTCCAAGTCACGTGTACTTGATTTGTGCTTTGTTTTGTCTGCTTCTTTTCATTTTTTGCCCTGCTTTTTAGACCCCTTACCCTAACCTGGCTCCTTTTATCTTTGGCTCTAGATCGAGGCACAGGCTTTGCGCTTCGGTCTACGCCTTCAATTCGTGACCCTTTTTTTTTGTATTTTCTTCTTTTTGTTTTTGTTGCGACGGCGGCGGCTTAGATTCCCTTATTCCCAGCTAAACGTGTGATGCGTGCGAGTGCAAGGACCTGTCATGAACTTGATATCACTGATTTTGCACCAGGGTTGCCAGCTCTCTCTCTGAGATCAACAACTCAATTAAAAAACTTCAAGTTGAAGTTTGATTTGCATTAATGCCATAATGAATGACGTTAACAATGCAACTGGTAGCCCGATAAATTGTTTGTCTAATTTCCGCCAACTTAAGCTACATAAAAAGAACTCTGTTCAAATTGCCAACTCAAGTCTATGCATATATCCTATGCGCTTTACAATTATTATTATTGTGTTTTTCTTTGTGTATAATAACAAATTTAACAAATAAATAAACAAAAATTTAAGTTGCGGCGTGGTTTGAACCAGCGACCACGCGCTTGTTGGCCCGACGCCCATGAAAATACTCTGAAAATGCACTCAATGAAAGTTCAAAATGTCTTAAATTGAATACTGTAAACAAATCTAATATATGTAGAAATTTTGAAATATTTAAAAATCAACAAAAATATTGAATACTACAAACTGAATACTTCGGATGTTTTCGAATGCTTCGCTAATTTTTTTTTTCGATAACTTAAGACTAAGATTGAATACTCTAAAGTTAATACTAATGTAGTTTTCGAATGCTTTACTAACTTTTTCTTGGGGATATCTAGAGATTCGGTTGAATTCTTCCGATAAGATTAAATACCGCAAAATGTATACTTATGATGTCTTTGAATGTTTTACTAACTTTTTTGTGTGATATTTGGAGTTTAAAGTAAAATACGTCAATGTGAATATTTAGATTGAATAGTTTGAAGAAACTTAAGAAACTTTCGAATGCTTTCATTTTTTTTTTTTGGTGTATCTAGATATTAAGATTGAATACTTTAAATGGAATATTTATGAAATTTTCGAATGTTTTACTACCTTTTTTTTTTGGTGTATCTAGAGATTAAGATTGAATACTGTAAAGTGAATATTTGTGATGTTTTTGCATGTTTCGCTAACTTTTGGTTTTGGGTTAAGCTCTAGTGACAACTGCGATATATTTGATTTGTATTTGATTTGGAGAAAATGTTGCCCAATATATCACAGTGATATTTTTCTCTTCTGCCTTCTTTGGTCGAGTGCAATAAATCAAGTGAATCGCAGCGCTATGATGTCAATGCTGCTTGGCGAATAACTTGTTTAGATTATTACCAAAATAAATAAATTTTCAAATATGTCAGAAACACAAAGAAAGATTGCCTTGCCAACCCGTATATATAGTATACTATGTGCGATAATATAAGCAGAGAGATTTTCCAGTAGCCGACGCGTTTGCTTCCGCCTCTGCGCTAAAATATTAACGAAATAATTATTAATGGTTATTTTTATTGTTTTTCCATACACATTAACAAAAGTCAAAACTAGCTTTGCTGACACTTTTATGTGCACGTTGCATTTATTTTTTGGACAGTCGAACAAATTGCGGCGGGCCATCATCGATGGGCATTGGCCAATCATTGAAATGGGGCGCATATCAAAAATGTGATTTGCTGCAACTTCAACTTGGAGAATTGGCGGGCAGCTATCATTAAAAATGGATTAGGCCAGTCGCATAATTTAGCCGCAGCGCCAATTAGCAACAGCAACAACTGCAACTGGAGCTCAAGCTGAAGCTGGAGCTGGAGCTGGAGCCTGGCCACTTATATCTCGTCCAGAGCATAAACATAAATGCCTAGGCGCGCACAGCGACTCAATAACAAGCCAAAAACAGCAGCAGCAACAAAAACAACAACAAGCCGCACTCTTAATGCGCACTTCGGAGGCTCATAAAAATATGACTTTAATATTTTCACGCGCAGGCGTTGCAGAGAGCAGCCAACCGCAGGCAGACAAAACGCAAAACGCGTAACCCGGGCCTCCCGAGTCCAGAGCCAGGGCCACGCGCAGGCCCAGACCAAGCCTGATCCCCAAAAGGGCGGCCATAAATGCACTGCGAGAAAATTTCAACAATTAGCTGAACTAACAAAACTTGTGTGGAAACAATAGCTACAAATGATAAATAACTATATCGGTTGATGTGGATCGCTGCTTAGAGATGTCTTGCTCTGGATCAAGATACTTCTTAAAAATTGATTTTATTTTAGCTCTAAAGAGAGGATACTTCATTCATGCCTTAGCGTGGGATTTGAACCTGCATCCATCCTGTTCATTTGCCTAAATGCCTGCATATTTTTTTTAATATGTGCCTTAAACAATTTGCCTTGTCAAGAGCTTAATATACTATTTGCCTGCGCATTTCGGATAGCTTATTAGTTTTGTGCTTGTGCATATTTAGTGTCTGGGTCTAAGCGACCCACCGCTGTGCCAATTGCCAATTGGAATGAAGGCCTTTGTCTCTGCTAACTGCCGACTCCAAATTATGTGTGTCCAGTGCTGAAATATTACAGGCTGCAACTAGATCTGTAGCTACATTTGAATTTGTATCTTTAACTTGCTTCGTATGCGTATTTTTAGCTCTGTCTGTATCTGTATCTGTAACTGCATCTGATATTGTATCTGTATCTTTATCTATATCCTTATTTACTATTATATTTGATTATATTTCATTCTGTTATTTTGTTTGTATCTGTTTCTGTATCTGTATCTGTATCTGTATCTGTATCTGTATCTGTATCTGTATCTGTATCTGTATCTGTATCTGTATGCGTATTGGTATCTGTATCTGTATCTCTATCTTTATCTATATCTATCTATATCAATATCCATATTTATGTCTCTACCTCTATGTCTGCCTCTGCACATGTATCTGTATATATTACTGTATCTATTTAGCTAAGTATCTGTGCATGTATCTACATCAGTATTTGCTTTTGTATCTGTATCTATATCTATATTTATAAATGTATCTGTGCCTTTATCTGTACCTGTATCTATGTACTAAACAATACTTGCATCTATATATATATCTGTATCTTTATCTGTATCTATCTATATTTATATCTCTACATCTACATCTATATCTGAATCTGTATCTGTATATGTCTGTATCTGTATCTATATAACTATCTGTCTATGTATCTGCATCCGTATTTGCATTTGTATCTGTATCTTTACCTCTATCTCTAGTTATATCCTTTGCAGCATCTCTTTTAGTATCTGCGCATGTATTTGTATCTTTATATGCATCTGCAACTGCATCTGCATCTGTAGCTATGGCTGTATCTTTTTGTGGACCTGGCGCTGACGCTGTTGGTAATTACATGGCTCTACTGACATGTTCGTGGCGCTCTGCCCGCTGGCTGCAAATTTACGAGTGTTTTTCGGCCAAAATAAAGCGCCAATTGGAGGCGGAAGCCACAAAGCCACATTAATTCAAACAATGCGACTGACTACACAGGCCGAGTTCAGCTGAAATGCGGCTTGGACTTAGTTTTTCTTCTGTTTTCTGTTTTCGGTTTTTTTTTTTCGAAAGTTTGTGGCCTCGTCTACAGCTGCAATGTGAAGTGGGCGGTGCCGGGGTAGCCAGCGAAACAGCGAAACAGACCCCGAAACTAAAAACCCATAAAAGCTGTTCAGCATGCCATCAATAAAAAAGAACAACAACGACAACAACAACAACTGAGAATGCACACAGAGCGAACCTTGGCCAAGAAAAATGTCGCTGCCACGGCAAATGGCAACAATTGTTGTGCTCAATCCTGGCTCAAACAGCTAAACAGCAAAAACGGAGGACGTAATTGAGCCGCGAAAGACGTATGACCATGGTCCGCGGTCCAGTCCAGCCCGGCCCGGCCATGTGCAGCATGGCAACAGGTAAAGCCAGCCAAACGGATCGTTCGTCATGGGCAATTGGCAAACGCAGCCCCACAGCAAGCTGGCCAAATGAGTCTCGGCCGGCCAGCTGCTGGCTGCTCGCTGCAGACAAACAGATCAAGCGCAGATAGTTTTGTTTGTGCTCGAGTCGATCACTCATCCAAAGTACAAAACGATCCGCTCGCCGCCGCCGCTGACTGCTCCCGCACAGCATTTACTTTGGCTGTGGCTCTGGCTCTTGCTGGCCAACAGGAACCGCTTGAAAGGCCATTTTTGGCTTGTAACTGGCAACGACTTACGACTTACGACGATCTTGATCACAGTTTGAGCGTTTGTCTGCACGTTGCAAGCTCATGAGTTCCAATTGTTCAAGCCAAGTAACAAGCACTTGGCCAGTCTCCCTCACCCTCTTCCCCCACTCTCTCTCTCTCTCGCTCTCTCACTCCTCCCACACTCTCTCTTTCTCTCCATCTGTCTCTATCCCTGTTTCCTGCATGTACAACATGCCATTTGGAGCGCTTTAAAATTGCAGTAACCTCGATTACAAGACGATGCTACGGGTTTCTGGGTTAAGACCCTTTTCAGGCAACCTGTTAACTGCTGTCTTTTGATACCCTGTACTCATTAAAATTATATCAGCTGGGGGTATGCTGAAGTTGTGCAAGTGTTTGTGACGCTTTTATTATTTCCAATCAACAGAGGATTTAGTTTGTTAGTTTGTTAGTCAATCAGTGCAATCCATCTAAAGGAAATTCAAGTCCGAGCCTATGTCATCTCTTTTTTTTTTGTCTAAAATTGATAAATATAGATTTTTCTTGAGCATATCTCAAAGATTATAAGAGCTAGAGACCCTCCAATTTGTAAATATATCTTAAGCTAGATTTTCGGTTATGAAAATGCATGCTGTAATCGAAATTAACTACACGGTATCTGCTATTCGAGCACTCTCACTTGTTCATAGTTGTTGTTGTTGCTGTTGTTGTTGTAGCTGCTGCTGATGCGCATTGTTGTTCAGCTGGCCGCCACGGCGGCGGCGTAGCTGCCCACAAGACCAGCCCACTGCAGAGCCGAGAGGCGGCTGCGCGTATCTTTCAGATACTCGCAACTGACTGCACCAAGGCAATTAGATAGCAGCCGAAACACATACACACGTAGAGTCGGGCACGTTGATGAGTTTATGGCAAAAATTGATTTCCAGTTGTCGTTGTTGTTGTTGTTGTTGTAGTTGTTGTTGTTGTTGCTCCCGTTGCTCCTTTTGCCTGGCTTTGATTGGCAAACTGTGTTTGTCTTCGGAAAATGGCATTCGTTATGTGCCAGCAACTGCCTCATACGTCCGCCCGTCCGTCTGTCCGTCTGTCAGTTTGTTTTAGTTGCTGTTGCCATCATTTAATTGCCCATTTTAATGAGATTTTTCAGCGTTTTCCCGCTGTTTGTGGCTGTTTTGCGTTTTTTTCGTTTTTTATTGCAACGCCTGCTTTCCACTAGAATCCGACGATCGACGATCTCAGCAGCTCGGCTGCAAGATTGGGCGTATTGTGTTTGGGCGTCTGCAGATAACAATTTACATACAACTCCTTGTAAGCCCCTCCCCCCCCCCTTCGCCCCACTAGCCTACCCGACCCCCTTGCACCGATGAAAATTAGCGATTGTAGCGATCTTAACTGTTGCGCTCAGAGACAGAGAGGAAACAGTTGTCAACCGGCACAAGATCTGGTATTGATAAAAATTTCAAAACCGTAAAGGAAAAAGCTATCTATCTATATGTGCATGTAACTGGCTGCACAGATAGATACCCTGCACTTTTTAATAACTGGTTTTGGGAGTATCTTTCATTTGGGCAGCTTAATTATTGATTGTTGAGTTAAGTGCAACATTTTTCATTAACAGTTTGCGAGATTTTGGGTTATGATCTATCAATTAGGTTGCTAAGTTCCCCAAAGTAAATAAGTCAAAAAAAATTAATAAACGATTTCAAAATTATTATCATAATGTCCAATAAATTATATTTCCTTATAAATAATCTTAGCTTATCTTTTTGAGTGTAATCTATGTATTATGAGCCAAGGCTGAGGCCTGATTCAATATACCAGAAGAGACGTATATATTTTAATCCTTTTATGACGTACATATATTAAATCCTTTTATTATCATCCTCTTGGCATATAAAATATGGGGTATAGAAATAATTTTTCCAATGGACTTTGAAATAGCTTCGGCTTAATTAACACCACTTCCATAAGTCGATTCATTTAAGAACCTTCCAGTTGCATCATCAGCAGACTTTGCTATCGAGTCTAGGAGCTCAAATGTCTGTAGCCTTGTCGAAGCCTTAACTTCTCGAGAATTGTAAGCGAAAAAAGCAACGCAAACATTTTCTGTTCTTTGAAATCTACAATAAACTAATTGTTATACTCTGTTCACAAAGAAGGAAAAGGATTATATTTGTCTTGAAACTAGTTAAATAAATAATTGTATTAAACTGATGAAAGATTCACAAAATTTGGCTCAACTAATGCTGCCCATAGACAGAGAAACAGTTATCACGCCAACTGGAACCAGACTCTGGGTGATTTACGAAAAAAAAAAACAAAATATTTCTATTTAGCATAAGAACAAAGCGTTGCGATCGATCGATTTGAATATGCGAGGCAAAGTTGGCCCAAAGTTGAGCTGTGCTTTTAGCATTTGTGGGTACTATACCTTATTTCCATAATCCAGAGTAAGTATATTAAGAGTTTGTTGTGTATTTTCCACATGGCTACGTCGTTAAAGAAAATGCGAGGCACACACGAACACAAACACGAACACGAACACAAACACAAATACAATACTTCATATTCTTTTCACGCTAAATGTGCGGATGGAAACTTAAGAACTGGCCATAGAAAATTTGTCGAGCTTTGCACAATTACACCAGGCATATTTATGTTTTTATTACAATTGTTATTGCTCTTCTGGTTCTGGGCAACCGTATATATATATATATATTTACTGATGAATCGCTGCCATTGGATACCGCTCAGCTATCGGACGCCTGTTTTATTATTAATGAACCGAAAGAGCAGACGACAGCAAAAATGCGACTGAGATGAAGTTCACAAAGGAGAGACTCGAGCTGAGATTGAGTTCACAAATGAATGGGAGAAATGCGTTGCCGAAATCCACTTGATGTATATTTGTTCATATGCTAATTAACACCTTTCGGGCGGCGTTTTAAATTAAGTCATCGCCCAAAGATTGTTGGATCACTTCAGGCCCGAAGCTGCGCTGAGGCTGAGGCTTAGACGCCGCAGCTCGTTTATCACGCGTCGCCTCGCGGTTTCATTCATGCAAATAACTCAGCTCCGAGCGGACTGCGGATATCAGCGCATCATTCATCAGGCCAACAAAGCCGTCGCACCACCGAACCACCGCACCACCAGAGCCGAGGTAGCTGCGGCCACACGACGTTCGTCGTCGTCTTCGTCTGGCTGTTGTCCGACTACACGACTTTTTAATTTATGATAAAGCGCCTCCGACTGTCACAACCAAATTGCGGCAATAACCATAAACGGCGCAGCAGGTGAAAACTACCAAAAAAAACGAGTCAAAGCAGAAGAGTACTCTGTCGAGCGAGCGACTGACTCTTTGTGAATCGTTTGAATCTTTCGAGTGTTTCGTATGTTGTATGTTAATTCACAGCGCGCGCGATAAAGATGCGTTTTTGGCCGCAGCCGCAGCCACCGCCGCCTTCGTCGCCGCCACAGGAATCGTCGGCATGCTGCGAACGCTTGAAAGGCTTAGACGGGCTGCCCGGGTGCCGAGATTAACATAAATGCGGCTCATTAGTGACACAATTAAAGACCAGAGCCGACAAATGCAAACGATCCCAACACGACACCACCACGCGACGCCACACGGTTTCTTTCGTATTTGCCTTCGGATTGAGTTTGATTTTTGTTGTTGATCGTTTTTTTTTTTTTTTTTTGGGACCCGGGTCAACCGTTGAACGCGCTTGTCGTATAAGAACTGGCAAACAGCCAGTTGAAATGAAATTCAAAAAACTATTCAATCAGCTGGCGCAGCGAACATGTTTGAGCCGAGTTTGAGGAAGCTGCGAGCGGGCGAGGGCCGGTCCGAAAGTTCATGGGAGCTTAGAGCAGGGGAAAGGGGACATACATATTTATATACATATATTATTTTTTATTATTATTAAGATTAACTATGATGCATTCATATTATATTATCAACAATACTATAGTTAATTAAAACAAAAGAGCGCCAGCTTTCAAGCATTCAGCATATATATTTATATATATTTTATTTTCTTTTTTTTTTATATAAACGTTTTTTGTATTGAATCAAGAATAGCATACATTTTTATTACAACACAGTTGGCTTTGGTTATATTATTTTATTTTCTAAGATATTCTAATCGGAACTTTCAATATTTCAGATCGTTCTTCAAAATGTAGGGACATCTAATTAATATGGACTTAAACTCATGTAAGTACAGATTATGTTTATATTAATTTATAATTGAATATTTTGTTAGTTTCATAAGTTTTATATCGATTTATATACTAGTGAATTTTTTGAATATCTCACGCGTAACTGTTCGTCCCACCCTCGTTTGGGTTCGCTGTTTGCACAAAGGTTGGCTGCAACATGTTGCAAGCTGCGTCGTTGGCCAGATCGGCAACAGATCCTTGCACGTGAGTGCAACAAACGAATTGAGTCCATGTCTGGCGTCTGAGCCGTCATTCGGGCCATTAAAGCCCATTATTGCGGCTTGATAATGGCTTGGGAAAGCTTCTCACTCGCTTCTCTCAAATTGTGACGGCAATCAAATCAATTATTTATCGATGCGGCAAAAAGTCGTGTTAACGGCCCCAAGTTAAAGTCAAGAATTCGTTGGCCAAAACTCTTGGGCCGGGGTGCCGCGGAGCCGGCGGGGGCGACGGGCCAAACTCAAGCATTTATCAAATGGCCAACAGGTGATTTGTCAGCGCACTTCACACACACACTCGCACACACACACTCGCACACACGCACACCCATCATGTTCATCAATGTTTATTTACAAGTGTTTTTCATGCCATTTTTTTTGTTCGCCGTCAGTTATTTTTTTATTTTCTCACAAATTTACAACTTGTTTAAATTTGCAACAACAACAGCGATTATTGCAGTTAGCAGCTTACTATTTTACAAATTGTTTTTTATGCCCTGAGTACATTGAAAATGTATAAAAATAGGGTATATTGTTTGTGGGCAAATGTATGCAACAGGCAGGAGGCAGGAGATAATTCCCAGCGCATGTTGTGTATATATTGTTGATCAGCAGTTGGTCTAGACTTGACATTTGGAATATATATTTAATCTACAATACAATTCCAGTATGAATTAGAGCTAGATACATCAATCTATACTATATAGATAAAGATAAAGATGGATAAAGCCTTGCTCTTTGGTATGCAAACTATTTCGTATGCCATATTTAAGCCCTGTAAATTATGTAAGGATTGTACTGTAAAAACCCGAGTTAATTGAGAATGCTTTTCCATATTGTGGGGCTAAGAAAAGAAGAAGCACAGACCGCATAGACTGAGCCTATATACTATATATAGGTAGATATACTATACTATGGACTTTGCCAGCGTGTGTTTGTTTGTATAGAAGGAGGCTAGAATGCCTGCAACAGCAGCTTGTCGCTGGGCTGAGGGTATCCGCTAGTCGTGCACGCCCGACTAGAGCACTCTTCTGTTATTTTTGTTTTTGATTTTCATGTTTATTTTTGCAGCATTTGTTCAAAGTGATTTATTGTCGCTTATTTACTGCCCGTTGGCCAGTTGTGAAATTTGTTTCAACTGGCGAGCTACGCGCTTCTGCCACAGTAGCCGCAAAACAGCTTGACATTTATATAGGGGGGGGTTGGGTCTAAAAGGGGGCGAGGGAAGAGGGGCGGGGGTCAATTAATGCCGTCTGGCGAGTCGAAGACACATGGGGCAGCGGCAACTGCGCTGTCTCCTGCGGGCCAAGTCTAATGCATTTCTTGGATATACGTGTCGCTTTAATTGATTTACCATTTATGCAAATGTGGCCAAGTGTTTGTTAACATGTTCTGAACTTGGCTTTCAAGCTGCACAAGCTGCATACATCTAGTATATACATATATATATCTTAGGCTGTAGCATGAATTGATGACATTTTAAGTAACAGTCGGTCGCTTGCCTTATTAAATGCAATTACGTTAATTTACACAATTTTGTTCAAGCGTTGACAGGCAATAACACAGTTCATAACTCAGCAAATCAGCAAATCGCAGCAGCAGCAACAATAGCTACAACAACAACAACAACAACAACGAGAAGAATAACAACAACAACAACACACAGGTGTTTGTCATGGCCCATTGTCTCTGGCAGCGAGTGCTATACTTAGTTTCGATTGTTAGTACGTTTTTTTCGTTATACCCTGAAACCATTGAAAATGGGCAGAAAGGGTATCATGGTTAGGTTGAAAGGTATGCAACAGAAGAAGGCAGAAGAGGACATTTCCGATTCCACAAAGTATATATATTATGGGACGATTTCAATAACTAAAAGATCTGGAGATAAACATAGCTTAAGTTTATTTCAAATCAACAATAACTATATAGAAAAGGCAACTAATTTGTTTCTCAAGCTAGCTCCTCGCTGGTTACAGGGTATCTGTTAGTCGTTCATTCCCAATTAGATCAGTCTAGCTTGTTTTCTTATTTATTTGCAGTTTGCAAACGTGACTCATCATCGCTGGCATTAACTGTAATTTGGTTCGTAGAAAGATGAGCCAGCCGACAATAGTAGTTATTCGCTTTGGGCCAGGCTTTCAAGCTCTTCCTCCTCTCCCTCAATCAAATGGCCAATTGTTGTCATTCTTTGAGTGTTAGCAAGATTAACAGCTCATTGTCGTGCACAGCTGCGGCATTTTATTATACACTGCCTGCCAAGAAACGTGCTAAGGTTGTGAGAATGTAAGCTGAAGTTTAAAAGGAAATATATAGGGTACATATATGGTGTATCTATAAAGGGTATATATATATAGGGTATCTATTTAGGGTATCTATATAGGGTATCTATAAAGGGTATATAGAATATTGAACAGCTCAGGCTTTATGCCATATGAAGATGAGGTGTAATGTATAACAATTAATAAGGGCTTCTTCTGGAATCAGAAGAACATTTTTCATAGATATCTTTCTGTATAAAACTATATATTCTGAATGATTGACTGACTGACTGATTGAATATGAAGATATGAAGATGAGGTGTGATATATAACAATTAATAAGAGCTCCTTCTGAAATCACAAGAACTTGTTTCATAGATATCTTTCTGTATAAAACTATATATTCTGAATGATTGACTGACTGACTGATTGATTGCTGAACAACACATAGCTCAGATCTTACAATCTGCAAAACTGAAAATTAACACCAAAATATGCTGGAATAACAATCTTAAGAACTGGTTTCATAGATATCTGTCTGTATAAAACCATTTATCCCGAATGATTGACTGATTGACTGACTGTTTGATTGATAAACAACACATAGCTCAGACCTTACGAGCTACAAAGCTGAAACTAAACACCAAGATATGCTGGAATAACAATGACAACATTAACGGAAGGCTCGTTACAACAGGGTATATATAAGTTTGTCAGTTGAGCTGTTTATGGACGTGTAGGATCAGACATCTAATGAAAATCGATCTATTGATCAGAGAATGACCCACATACCTCAGATTCTATTGCTGTTCTTTACGACAGCTTTTATTATGTGCTAAGATTGTTAAGTTACAGATAATTGTTCTATGGCAAATAGCTGCAAAGGCGTCTTTATGACAGACAAACGCCTCTTGATTGCTAGCTAACATTTTAGCTTGAAAAATAGAAAAAAATAGACGCTAACAACTGTTTTAACTGCCAGATGATGGGGTATTTTAGTCGCGCAGTTGTTATATGTGAGATCGTTGATTGAATGTGTTTAGTTTATGGTTGTTATCTTTAGATTATTGCTAATTAGATATAAATCAAAAATAAATTAATTGAATAGTGCCTGCAAGTTCTCAGCTTAAGTCTTTTGATTTGGGGCAAACGTCATCTAATCCGCATATCCAATTAAAAACTATATAGAATCAGCTTGTGGAACCATTTAATTAATGTACATTCAAGGCAGGCCAAATGCAATAAAAAGTGCTGCAACTCGACTGTCAGACACATTAAAATCAGAAGCGTGAAACAATAAAATAATAACTCAAAATTTTCCAGCTAATAAACAAATTTCGTTCAAAGCAGCCCCAAACAAAACAAATTGTGGGCGTAATAAAATCTCTCTTTACTTTATTTATATTATTATTGTTCTTGGTATTATTGTTGTCGCGAAGGGAAAGGGGAACGGGGAGGGGAGGGGGAACGGGAATGGCAAGAGCAACGCTTGGTTTCACATTTCCCCACGGCGCTTCCGTTGTCAGGCAACCAGCCACTGGAGCGATCCAATCTGCGGCACAATGACGGCCCATTGGCCGGATTGGCCACGTAACGATAACAAATCACATCATCTTAGCAGCAGAGCGGCTCGCGTGACGTAACACGAACTAGCGTTACGTAACTTACGTGGAAAGTGTCCGTGGTGGGAAAGCACGAAAAAGATTCCGATAAAAAGTGAAATAATATATATATATAAATCTTGGCAAAGAATTTTCGTATTCTGTGATAAAAAAAACTATTTCAAGGAATTTCTAGTATAATAATAATACCAGATAAGACTAGGGTATCCAACAGAGAGGGTTAGATAAATCGCGTACATCTAGAGTTCCACAATTTTAAAGCCAGAGTCTTCAAGTTTTCGCAGCTGTTGAAGCTAGAGATCCGCTTTTAGTAATATTATATAATAAGTTCCGTTCGTTTCGTGCTCAAGGACTCACGCGCCCATCTCTAATGCAGAATGACTGCAACAAATCGCATTTGTCATAGACAGCAAGAGAGAGCGAGAGGGACCGAGAGAACATTTGATATGTTGTTTCCATTGGGAAAATTGGGCTAAACTGCGATTGCCCACCAACAGGTGTAAATTGAGCTGGCCAAGCAGACAGGAAGGCTTTGGGCGTGAGTAGTTCCATCAATAACAACAACAGCATCCAATTACAACTCGCACAGGTCGCGCATTTATTAACAAGGCCTCGCAAATGCATTTGGCATTTGGCATTGTCTGTGTAATTAGGCAACAACGCATCCGACAGATACAAAACTCCTGCAACAGCCACGCTCGAGTGTTAATTGAAGGGAAAGGTAAAAGGGAAACACTAACAGCTGCAGCGAGCTGTGCGGAGTCAGGTAAAAAACCTCGCTCTTATCGCCGCATGTTGCACGTTGCACGTTGCATGTGTTTAGACGCTGACTTTCTCCCAGAGATAGGGCTACATTAGGAGTGAGCCAAGGTCCGGGCGAAAGGTCACAGCTTAATCGCTGGCGCCAGACAAATTGATCACTAATTGGTTTATTAAGTTCTCAGGCAAATAAAAGGGTATAAAGGGCATATCTGGGGTCAGCTCTTAATGGTAGGTGTGACAGGATGCCACAGAATACATATGACGTTGATAAGTTTGTTAAGGGGTTATTTTTTATATGTGTGTGCCCTTGAAAGTGCATGAAAAGGGTATACTGGTTTTCTTTGAATGCATCTGCGAGCAGTCTCTAGGTATAAAACTGTTTGCTATTATCCTATATAGACATAGGTCGAAATTTCCCACCCACATAACTCGGTCAAAGCGCATCCGATTTTCACGAGGTTTGGCTTTTTGTTAATGGTTTGGCCTCTAAATCAATTTCGCATCTAAATCTGGCAACATTGTTTTTGGTCCAAATTCATGTGCAAATGGTACCCTCACAAACCCTTAATAGACATAGGTAGAAATTTCCCACCCACATAACTCGGTCAAATCTCATCCGATTTTCACGAGGTTTGGCTTTTTGTTAATGGTTTAACCTCTTAATCAATTTGGCATCTAAATCTGGCAACATTATTTTTGGTCCAAATTCATGGGAAAGTGGTACCCTTAAAACCCCTTTGTAGACATAGGTCGAAATTTCCCACCCCCATAACTCGGTCAAATCTCATCCGAATTTCACAAGGCTTGGCTTTTTGTTAATGGTTTGGCCTCTAAATCAATTTGGCATCTAAATCTGGCAACATTATTTTTGGTCCCAAATCATGTGCAAATGGTACCCTCACAAACCCTTAATAGACATAGGTCGAAATTTCCCACCCACATAACTCGGTCAAATTTTATCCGATTTTCACGAGGTTTGGCTTTTTGTTAATGGTCTGGCCTCTAAATCAATTTGGCATCTAAATCTGGCAACATTATTTTTGGTCAAAATTCATGTGAAAGTGGTACCCTTAAAACCCCTTTGTAGACATAGGTCGAAATTTCCCACCCGCATAACTCGGCCAAATCTCATCCAATTTTCACGTGCTTTGGCTTTTTCCTAATGGTTTGGCCTCTAGATGAATTTGACATTTAAATCTGGCAACATTATTTCTAGTCCAAATTCATGTGAAAGTGGTACCCTTAAAACCCCTTTGTAGACATAGGTCGAAATTTGGCCTCTAAATCAATTTCGCATCCAAATCTGGCAACATTATTTTTGGTCCAAATTCATGTGTAAATGGTACCGTCAAATATCCTAGACATAGGTAGGAGTTTTCCACCCCATTGAAGTAGATTAATGTTAATGATCCTGTTATTTTGATCATAGCTCGTTCAATAAATTCATCAGCAAAGCCATTCAGTTCAACTAAAGTGTTGAATTAAACTTTATTGAATTAAATTACAATTTTACATAAACTGGAAAGTCGTTTTACAATATATTAGCATATAGTACATATGCATATAGCGTTCATATATATAAATATATATATATATATGACGTTTCTTTTAATTCACGTTTAATTATGCTTGTATAATTTTAAATTTAGTTATATATGCATGTATATATACACACACACATATATATATATATATATAAATATATAGTTCATGTTGAATATTCCATAATAAGGTAGTTAGGTATATATATATTAATTAAAAAATGTTAAATGTATATATATATAAATATATATGTGTGTGTGTATGTGTGTGACATAAAAGTTGAGTTAACAGTTTTAGCTTCTTAAATTTTCGATAAATTTGCATTTGATTCTACAAAGTCTGGTGCGAAATTCAATACAATTAAGCAACGTAATTTAGTTGGTGTTTTCAATTAAATAGTTCATTGTGTTTTGTTTTTTTATTTTTTTTTGTTTTTATCTTCATCTTAGAACTGGGACTTTTAGTAGTTACAACACGTTTTCGTAGCACTTTGAAAGTTCTTAGGACATATAGTCTAACTATAAAACTGGGGAAGTTCTCCAATTAATTCAACAGATATGTGAATAGCAATTTGTTAAAGCTAGAATAAATTGCAAGTATAAAATTTATTGAATATCAACAATTGGTGTTGTGTGTTTGTTTAGTTTAGAGTTAAGAGTTTATAGTCATACATATATCTTAAAACAGTGTTGGAAAATGTGTGTGGATACTAAGAAACTAGAATTAGGGCATTAATATAACTATAATATATCTCATTGAAGTTTTAGTTCGAATATATATTTTTAGCATGTACTTACAAACATTTCTATGTATTTTACGATAGTTTTATAGTTTTTTTTTTATGGTTTTCTTTTTTTCGTTTATAATTAAAATTAAATTGTTTATTAGATTTTAGTTTTAGTGCCAATTGGCTTAAGGTACTTTAAGTTTTTCTTTGCCTTGTGGCGCTTTTTCTGGTTTTCATTTTAACTAGAGCTCAAACACACATTTAGGTTTTGGTGACTAGTTAGCCCCGCCCACTTGTTGTGTGCTTGCCAAAGACTGTATAGTGTAGAGTGTGTGTGTGTGTGTGTGAGTGTGTAGTAGTAGTAGTATTAATAGCATTAAGTATATATATGTGCAAATATTGCACATGCTTTTACATTTCCACGACATAACATGTAACAAAGGAGCTTTACAAAGCTTTATTTTCATTTTTTACGTTTAGCTCTAAAATTGATTGCAATTCTTTATAAGTCATTAAGTAGAGAAAATCTTTTTAGTCTTCAATTCAGATTAGTTTTTCGTTTAAGTACATAAGTAGTTCAGTTATGTATATATATATATTCAAAGAAATGCAATTGAAGAGTTAAGAGTAGGTGTGCAAATGAATTTTTGACATCTAGTTAAATAGTTAGTTAACAATTTATAATCGATCTAAAATTGGCTTCTCCGTTTAAGCCCTCAACAAACTGCGCCTAGGGATTGTTCAAAATTCATGCGAGCAACGCCGGGGAATATCTTCTAGTATAGTATATAGATTAACTCACAGCCCAAATGCAATAAGTTCTTTTGCACTTGCCCAACGATAGCAAGGAATTTACTGTGTGTGTGTTGGTGTGTGTGTGTGTCACAATTCTTATGTATAATGACAAGATTTATTCCAATTTCCTATGTCTGAGGCGTGCTGGAGAGGTATGTCTATATAAATTGTATGTACTTGTATGCGAAGGATTCGTGTTTGAACAAAGTATCTTCCTTTAGAAACGTATCTATATACATTTTCTATGCCAGTTGCAGTTCATCATATTGTATAATTATATATATTATATGTATATATATATATATATATATATATATATATATTTATTTGTTTTATGAAAGCTAACAATGTGGACGGACAAAAATAATTTACAAAAATTCTTGTATTGTTACATTTAGTTTGAAAATCGAAAGTTTTCCTTTTCGTTTTCGTTTAGCTGTCGCTTAATCTTAACTATTACATTTTTCGTATATATTTTGTTGGGGGCCGTTTGAAAGATTGAACATTAGTTAAATATATCGATTTATCGATTGTTGTTAATTCTTTTTTTTTTTTTTTGTGGTTTTGCATGCATATTGCTTTATTTAATTGCTAGACTACAAAGTCACACAAAGTTCCAGACTTGGCTTTAAGTACTTGCATTAAACAAATTAGCATCGAGTTCTTAGTGGAAAATGATCAAAGAAAACAAAGGAAAAGATCAACTAGCAATGTTTTCAACATGATATTTTGTTTTCGCTGCTGCTAGCTAGCTCTTTGATTTTAGAAATCAACAACAACATTGGACTTTCGAGCTGAGCTTTAAAGTAAAAGCACAGTTAATATAATACTATATAACTCTATATATATATTAAAATCGAGAAATAATGCTTTAGATTTTACACGCTGTTTTAGAAACAAGCTTAGTACGCAGAGCTGAATTCAAAATACAATAAAATAGACTAGTTTTGAAGTTTTCAATTAGAGCTAATTATATATATACAAATGTATCTACTTTTATATAGGCATATATATTTATATTTATATTTGTATTGGTTTAGGTTTAAGTATTTATCATAGACTTAATTTTCTTTGCTACACTTGGAGTTAAAAAGTTTTCGAAGGCTTCGTTAATAAGTTCTTTTGAGTTGACAAATGGAAAAGTAGAGCTCTCTCTCTTGTGAAGAATTTTCATTATATAGTATATATGTTTGTATATATAAAATTCTAAACCTAACATATGCTACGTTTACAAAGTTTCAAAATTAATCGTTTAGTACAATTATATATATATATTAAAGTACCGTACATTTGTTAAAATTCGTTATGCAAATGAATAAAAGTGCAGATCTTGCTACTACAATTTATATAGATATATATGTATATATATCGTATATCATATAAAGTAAGAAACGAAAGTTCCACTACAAGAGGTGCTGCGTGTCTTAATAAACAATTATGAAAGTAGAAAGTTTCACTCAGTTGTTAAAGCTATTAATAAATTCTTATTGAACATAGTTTTATATATCGCTTCTCGCTCGCTCGCTTCTCCCTTCTGCTAAGCTTAAAATTCACTCAGTTGCAAGCTGCGCTCATTGATTGGGTTGCATGTGCTGCAGATTGTTGCTGCAGGTATAGAAAATATACATATATAAATTTACTTGAAAATATATATATATAGATATATCTGAAACTCACCTGTTTTCACTATGGCATACCGACATTTCCTGCTGCCCTTGATACTGCAAGTTTTGAAGGTATTCCGCCCTGCGTTGGTGCACCAGCTTCTCTTTTTCGGCTCGCTCTCTCTGTAGTCTATATCGAAAAGGTAGCACAGTGATAAGTATTTGGTTTAAGATAAGAATTTACTTAAACTATAAAATAAAACTAAAAGATAATTGGCTAGCAGGAGAACATAAGTGGAAGAAAAGTAATCGATACTTGTTGCCCTCTCGATATCGAATCGATTATATTTATAATTAATAAGTTCAAACAATCGATTTTCGGCTATAATCGATCGAACGGTTTTTATCGATTGCGTTAACTAAATAATCGATAACTTTTTGCTACCCTTCCATTGTCATCTTACCAAAGTCGTCAAGTTGCCATCCCAAATGCTAGCGTGCAAAATTTGTGTACAATTTTTAGATCTCAACATGACTTGGGACTATATAATCTTAATCTTAACTAAATATTGGGGTTGTAATGCTTACTTGATGCGTGATTGTCTCATGAACTGTTGTATTTTTCTGGCAGCCTGGTTTTGTGTTGACTGGGAATAAGTACGTCTAATTGTTGAGAGAGAAAAAGAGCGATTAATATATCTATCAATAATAAGAGTTATTCTCTGGCCGCACTCACTTCAAGGGACCCGACGGACTCGTCTCCTTGGGCGTGCTGGGCTGTGAGCCGAGCTCGTGCTGCTGCTGCTGATCCTGCTTGAAGTGATCATAGAAGCTGGACAGGCACTGCGAGTTGCTGCTCACGCTGCCGTGTTCGCTGCCCGTGCCGCCCAGCTGCGACTTCTTGAAGCGCTTGTTCCGCCGATACGAGCGATAGCCGTGCTGGATGACCAGCGCCGCGTTGGTCATCTGCCTGTAGTAGGCGTATTGCTTGTAGCGGCGATAATAGTTCTGTATTACGATTGCGGCCGTGCGCTCCTTGTTCTGCTCCTCCAGCTTCTGGCGGCCCTTGTACGAGCGATACGCCTTCTGTATGCACTTGGCCGCCTCGTACAGTTCCCGCTGCTCGGTGTCCGTCAGCGTTAGCTTGGAGAAGTCCGCCTCGAACGGATACTGGGATATGCTCGAGGCGTGCAGGAACTCCGTTAGCTGTTTGGTCGACGGCGGCGGACTTGGTGAGCTGACCGAGGGATCGGTGCCCAGTATGGAGTAGCTGGCCGGCGATTGCAATGGCCCCGAGCTGGCCGGGCTCAGGCTGGAGCAGGGCGTGCTCACATCGTGATAGCGATAGCTGTGATCCTGAAAATCGAAACTGAAATCGCTGTCGAAATGCGTGTTGGGCAGCGAGTCGAGCAGCGGATCCATGAAGCTATCTGTCAGAGCCGAGGACTCCGAGGTGAGCGGCTCCGTCAGCGGACTGCCCAGCACCATCATCTCATCCGCTTCGTTCTGGAGAAGGAACCAACTAATATAATCTTTCGATATATATTGAAAATCAAAGCCAACCCACCTTGATGCGCTCCGGCATGGCGGCGATAATGTGTTCCGCCAGCGTCAGAACCTTTGCATCCGAATCCCCTGAAAGTAGGCCACGCAAAATGAAATGAGCTAACCTATGGATTGATTTGGCCAACAAAGCATTACAGATCAAAGAACGAGTCTACAGTATATGCTGCTCTGTGTTTAAGTAGTTGTTTAATATACATCGACAAGCACTTCGGTTATGTGTTGCGAGGGCAGCTCCAAAAGTTAACGAGTGAGCTATCAAAAAGCTACTATGCCAAATATTAATTTGTGCGTCTCTATTTGACGTTTTGATAAAGGCATATATCTGGATCGAATATATCTTTAATTAGGCGAATATTAACAATCCTATAAAGCATATATGTTCTCGATCAATATTAACAGCCGAGTCTTTATAGCTATATCCGTCTGCTTCTATGCAAACTAGTTTTTCCCTGTTAAGGTTATTATCATTTCATAGGGCTGTTTTTCTATTTCTGGGAAATTTATTGGATCGTACATTCATTTAGCTGGCATAGGATTCCATATAGCTAATCATATAGCTGGCATAGGAAGGATAGATCGAAAATCGAAAATTTAAACCTTATTTTCACGGTATCAAACTAAAACTTGGCAATTACTAGCTCTACAAGGTTCCACACTTATAAGGCAAATCTTAACATAATCGAATTACTATATCATATAAAAAAAATTAGTCGAAAATTTAATTTTGTAACTACAAGCAAAAGCTTATCAAATGAGTCTACGATATTATATGGTTCCTGCTCGAATAATCTGTCGGAAATATAATTTTAAGAATCTCAAAGCAACGTCTAAAAAGCTTTTTAAGTTGTCGATTTTTATCTCCTTATAATTATTTCTATATTTTATACATATTATCTTGTTTTTGTGAGCATCTCGTTACTTCATCAAGCTGCCCTCGTTTATGTGTTTGTGTATACGTGTGTGTTAGTGTCGAGTGTCCACACACACACACACACACACACACACACACACTTAATACTTATTTACAGAATGAGTACATTTTGAATATATTTACAGTTCTTTGTTATGTGGTTAGGCTGTGTGTGTGTGAGTGTGTGTGTTAATGTTAGTGTATACATCGATATTAAGGCACATTTAAGGTTAGTTCTAATCACACAAATACATATGCTGAACGTTAAATACGAGTACAATATATAGATACACATATATGTATGTATGTTGCGGGCATGTGGCACTCATATTTACATACATTCATATGAATGTGAATATGAATACACTCACATGCATATTCATATTCATAGCATTAGCAGTTAACATCAATAGAAATGAACATTTACATAGATTAATTTAGTTATAACGGCCACGCGAGAGTGTGTATATGTATGTGTGTGTGTGTGTGTATATATGCAACAACAACAATTAGCAACAGCAATCAACAACAACATTGAGAGACAGACAGCAAGAAAGAGAAAGATAGATAGAGAGAGAGAGACAGAGACAGAGCGAGCGAGCGAACTATACACAAAATGCACATTAGATTTGATGACCCCTCCCCCTCCCCCGCCCCCCACAACAACCCGTTACGTTACGATACGTTACGATATTACGTGATTACGTTAAGTGGTTAGCATAGTTGTTTGTTTTGAATATTCTAGTTTTGATTAGGGTGTTCTTTTAGCGGTGGTCTCACTGACCTACGACAGCATCGTTGAGCCCATTGTTTAGGGTTGTGTCGGTCACGCTCGTCGAATTCTCATCGCAATCGATGCTTTTCTCGTTAATGGGACTCGACTCGCCCGTGGATACCTCGCCTGGTGTTTAGAATTTAGCGAGAGTTTTCGTTTTTAAGCATATATATATAGTAAAGTCGCACACAGTAAAATTGACTAGAAAATCACATGGATTAGCACATGGCCAACACTTACACAGTGCAAAATCCATTTTACGCAGCGGCGACAACAAGCCGGAGCAATTGTTGCCGCTCAGCGAGTCCAGCGGCGAGTCCACGCCCAGCGCATAGCTGTCGTGCGGCTCAAAGTTTCTAAAAATAAACAACGTTCAAAATATAGACTATAGTTAGATAGTTAGAGGAACTCACCCATGCAGCCTGGCGAGCGGCTTGCCGGGTTTGCTGCGCATGTCCATGTTGATGCCGCTGTCAATCGAGGAACGCTTCGAGTAGCGACTGCTGTTATTTGGCGGACTTTGATTGCTGTGAATAGACGTGAATTAAGCACTAAAAATGAAAAAGGCTTGGAAAGATATCCAAAACGTAATAATCTACGGTCCACGATTTATGGATTTCGAATTAAGCACTAAAAATGAAAAAGTCTTGGAAAGATATCCAAAACGTAATAATCTACGGTCCACGATTTATCGATTTCGGGAAAGTTATCAATGAATTGAATTATGCTTGATTTGCGCTTTATAAATTTGAACTGATCTTATAAATTGCATGTCTCGAGCTTCTATGCTGTAAAGTGAGATGTTGACAACGATATTTATCGATTTCCGTTGGGAGTTATCGATAAATAAAGGCAAATTTTGGTCAGCGTATAGATCTGCGCATTTTACATTTAAACTGATATTATAAATTTCGTGTCTCGAGCTTCTATGCTTAAAAGCAGGAGCTAGACATCGATATTTATCGATTTCCGTGGTACGTTATCGATAATCCAAATAAAATCTTGGTCTGCGTGTAGATCTTGATCTGCGCATTGTATATTTGAACTGATATTATAAATTTCGTGTCTCGAGCCGAGCTTCTATACTTAAAATCAAGAAGTAGACATCGATATTTATCAATTTCCGTGGGATGTTATCGACAAGAAAATCAAATTTTAGTCTGCGAATAAAGTTTTAAATTGGTTTCTTTAACTTTCATATTGTACGAAAAATGTGTAAACGACAGAGTCTATATAACGATATTTATCGATTTTCTGGGCAAGCTATCGATAAATTTAAACAAATTTGTATCCGCATTCCAAATTCAAATTAATACAGTCCCGCACACTCACCTGTGCAGCGCTACGGGTCGCAGGAAGACACCATCGTGTCGGCGCTGCAGTTCCAGCTCGTAGACGCTATAGCTGGACTCCTCCGTGGTTGCCTCGACGGCCAGATTCATGGAGAGATTGGCCAGACCACCGCGCAGCTGCGGCTTGCGGCAGCGCTCCTTCTCCAGACGGCACAGCTGCTGGATGAGCTGCTTGTGGCCCTTAAGGCTGGCCAGATCGAGTGGCGTGTGGTGCGCCTGCGTCTTAATCTTTAGAGCATTGTGATTCCATTTGTAGAGCAGCAGTGTGCACTCCAAATGGCCACGCACACAGGCCCAGGCCAGGGGCGTAAAGCCATGCACATCCTGGCTGAGCGCATCCAGTTCCGTCTCCAGTATGATATGTGGATTCTCGGCGCGCCAGTTGAGCATGGCGCCCACCAGCTTGGCATAGCCCAAGGCGGCGGCCAGATGCAGCAGGGTCATGCCGCGCAGACCCACGCTCCAATTGGCCCCGGTGCTGGGCGCGCTCCAGGCGTGCTTCGTCAGCCGGTGGCAATAGAGCACCAGCTTCTCCTCGAAGTTGGGCTCCAGAAAGAGCGAGGTCTGATCGATCTACGGAGGAGGGGATGAGGCATATATGAGATGACCTGTAAGAAGAAGATGTCCCTCGGCTTACCGTTAGCTCGTTCTCCAGCTTGAGCTGCAGCTTCTCGTCGATGGTGGAGAGGCGATTCAGTAGCGTGAACTTGTACAGGCAATCGTTGGAGCTGCTCGCATCGAAGGGCGCATCCGCGAGCAGCGACAGCTTATACTCGAACATGGCCGCATTCGAGACCAAATAGCCGCCGCAGGCCACCTGCAGGGTGACCAGACCCGCCTCGTGGGCGGGGCAATAGCAGCGGAGGACGCCCTCCTGCACCAGAACCGTGGGCACGGGCTGTGCATCGAACAGGACCGTATAACAGCCGCCATCGCTGGTCCAGGGTCCGGCAACGAGCACCTTGACACCGCCCTCCGTGTACGACCATTCCGGACTGAAATCGCAAATGTTAAGCAGCTTGCGCTGCGTCGCCTGCGTGGGCGTGGCAACGCCCTGATATGAGCTAACGCCGCCGGCCTGGCTATGGACCTGCTCGAGCGCCGTGTTATTCAGCGCCTGCTTGTCATCCAGATCCAGTTCGGGGAACTCCACCAGCATATCAAAGGCATCCAGATGGGCGAACACATCCGCCGTATCCTCATCCTCGCGTGAACTGTGCGCCTCTTGTTGTTGTTGCTGCTGCGTTTCAATATTGTTGCTGTTGCTGCTGGCAGCTGTTGCTGCTGTCGTTGCTGCTGTTGCTGTTGGTGTCACATTGTTGCTGTTGCTGCTGCTGCTGTAGGGCATATTGGCGATGAGTGTGCGCTGTATATCCTCGTGCGACAAATCGAGCGTCTCATTGAAAAAGCTCATCGACTCCGCCTGCTGCGGCTCATCCTCGTTGCTGTTGCTGCTGCTGGGGCTGCGACTGTTGCTGTTGTTAGGGTTGTGATTGTTGTTGTTGCTGTTGATATTTGGATTGCTGCTTTCGTCGCTGGCGCTTATTTGGCTGCTGTTGTCACTGGAAGCACTGTAATTGGCACAACCATTGAGTATGTGGGCTTCCGTGGCCTGATTGTTGTTGCTGTTGTAGTTATTGCTGCTGCCTTGCTGCTGTTGCTGCTGTTGCTGCTGCTGGTCGCTGCTGCTGCCCAACTCCAGCTGTCATTTAAATTTAATCAACATAAATAGCATAAATGCAGTTGATTTGCGGTCTAAGCCCAAACCCCAAAACTTACCTCAGCGTGCGCATTGGCGCTCATTAAATTATCACAAATTGTTGCTGCTGCTGCTGCTGCTGTTGGTGTTGTTGTTGCTGCTGTTGTTGTCGTTGTAATTTGTTGCTGCTGATTGCCATCGATAATCGACTGTAAGGAACTGGAGCTGGACGTGGAAGGAGTGTTGCTGCCAGCGGAAGACGTTGCTGTGAGCTGATTGTTGCTGCTGCCGCCGCTGCTCTGATGCTCAGGTGACATGCACATGGCCTCAACTGGGGGTTGGCTGCTGCCGTTGTTGCTGCTGCCGTTGTTGCTGTTGCTGGGGGTGGCTGTCTGTTGCAATTTATAATAATGTTGCTGCTGCTGCTGCTGTGTGTTGCTGGCAGCATTCGCTTGCTGCTGCTGATTGTATGTAAAATTATTGCTGTTGTTGTTGACATTTAATTCGTTGTTTGTGTGAGCTGCTGCTGCTGTTGTTGCTGATGCTGTTAATTGCTTATTGCTGCTGTTATTTGTGTTGTGGCTGATTTTGTTGCTATTTGCGGTCAACTGCTGACTTTGGTTTTCAATTAGTTCCGTATCCATGACATTTGAGGCAGTGACTGTTGCTGCTGCTGCTGCTGTGGCTGCCTCTCTTGTTGTTGCCGTAATTGTTGTATTGGCAATTTGCAGGCGATGATTTAAATGTGCTGAGCTGTTGTTGTTGCTGTTGTTGCTGTGTTGATTATGACTCTGATTGCCCTGATTGTGACTGGCCACAAAGCGCTGCAAGTTCAAGTGTTGCTGCTGCTGTTGATATTGCTGTTGCTGTTGTTGTTGCTGTTGCTGCTGCTGCTGCTGTTGCTGCTGCTGCTGCTGCTGCTGCTGCTGCTGCTGCTGTTGTTGTTGCTGTTGCTGCTGCTGTATTATCAGATTGTTTCTTGTGGCCAGCATCTGATTGGCAGCACGATATTGCTGCTGATAGCTGGCCTCGCTGTGATTGGCCTGCTGTTGCTGCTGCTGGGGAATGATTTGAAACTTGATCGCCGACTCCTGCGGCAGCTGCTGTGTCGCATTGTGGAACTGCGCGTGCGGATTGTCCAAGTGCAGCGTCGCCTCACGCTGCCTGTGCCGCTCCGACCAGCGCGAATATAGCTGCAAATAGATGCGTTAATTCTCCGACCTCTTCCCCCTGCTCCCATCTCTCCCATCTCCTCTCACCTTGCTGGCCACCACAACATTGGGCGTGCCATTGGCCGTGCTGTAGGCATCATTGGGCCGCTTCTCCGACACGGATTTCAGTATGCCGCCCGTGCGTCGCATAACGGGATGCGTGCAGGTCTTCCCATCCGCACAGGCAGCATCGCCGCAGCCGCAGTCGAGCTGCTTGACGAGCGCTGCCTGCCGCGAGAGACGCTGCTTCTCCATCAGCTGGCATACAATTGACTCGACTGTCTCGGCCGTCTAAGGGGGCAATCAGCATATGATTAACTGTTATAACTGTTATACTACTTAACTAGCTGGTATGCTAGCTATTATGGTAACTGTTAGATTATAAACTTCCCAATATGAACACATTTTATAGCTGTTATAACTGTTATATTGTTCTAATTGATACACTTACTGTTATACTGCCCAGATACCTGCTATTATGGGTTTTTACAAACTGTTATATTGCAACAAGTCGACATATGAGATGCAATTATAAATGTTATACTCACTGACTAGCTGTGTGTTAACTGTCATATTAGGGAAAGGTTGGTTTTATTTTAAATTTTATATGAAGTGGCATACAAACTGGTATACTGAGTTTTCCACTAGTTGTGATACTATAGTCTATATTATTTGTTATTATATATGGTCTCTTGACTGTTATACTAGCTCTTTTTCCCACTGTAATATGCTTATTGTTCTAATAACTGTTATATATAGCTTCTGTTATACTTTCTGCATTGAGAACTGATTTACCAATTGTTATACAAAACTGTTATACTCACCGAAATTTCTATATCATTGCCCGAGTCGGAATCCTCATCCGAATTAACTGTGGATACTGCGTATAATGGATGTGCTTTTATACAGGCAGCAACAACTATTAAGTGTTATACTCACGCATAGGCTTCAGCTGGCTAACCAGCTCCTCCTTGGTCCACTCCTTCTTGTCGCCCCAGAGCGTGATGCTCGGCGCAATGACGGCCATTTTATTATCATCCGGATAGGGTACATTCAGATAATGCACCAAAACAATGTCCGGATTCTGTTTGTGGGTACGGCAATATAACAAGTCTGTCAAAAAAGTACACCCCCCCTCCCTCCCCCTCCCTTCGTGAGGCACCTACCTGCAATAGCCAGTAACATCTGCGATGAAATGTGGGCAATATGGCCGAGTGTACATAACAACCATAGATGCACTGTGGAGCAATTGGGAAATGAGTTTAGTAAGGAAAACAAAAACAAGAACATAAAAAATATTAATATATATATGAGAATATATAGCTAAAGATATAGATATATAGCTGTGGCAGCTACACGCAGCGAATTGATTTAATTGGAAGACATAAAAAAGACGCAGCTCAAATTAAATTACCAAACGCCCACGCTAGGGGGCGCCAGCTAAGAAAAAAATACTAGAGTGGATGGGGGGTAACAAAAACAAGGCAAGTGCCAAAAATCAAACCCTTTGTGACTTGCACAAGAACATCTTCCACTTCTGCTGCTGCTGCTGCTGCTTCTTCTTATTTTAGTATACTTTCTTTTTTTTTGCTGCGCATTTCTTTTGCTGTTGGCGCTGATAAATTTGTTGGCCGCCGTCTTTGGGCGATATGCCGCTGACTCTTTTTTTTTTGTTGTCTTCCTACGAACATTGAAGTGTTCAGCGTTTATAAATATTAGTTATCGTGTAAGGAGAGAGACAAACAGACTGACAGACAGACGGACAGACGGACGGACAGGAAAACCCCTGCTGTGTGTTTGCCAAGTGCATAAATCTCGCGGCAGCTACTTGTCTTTTGCTCGTAAAAGAAACGCAAACTGCAAGCGGGGTATTAAAATAAAAATTAAAACAAACAAAAAAAATGTATGGGCAAAAGAAACGAATTTTTGGCGTGAAATTGCCAACTGTTTTTCAACACACATACACACACACAGCCAGGAATATGAAGGGCTGAGGCGGCATTTACACACACTTCAGTCAGACATTATACAATAAATACGCTTAACCCTAGGCAAAGCTTATTTCATTAGCACACAAACAAACGCCCAGTACAAGAAACAGAACAACAGAAAAAAAATAAGGAAAGAAAAAAAGAAACGTATTTCCGGCGGAAAATCATAACTCACAATGCAAAAGACGGAAGAAAAAAGAAAACAACTGTGTTCTTAGCAACCCCCAACAAAATGCAGTTAAAGTTAAGCTTCGACTTCCGTGTATTTGTTTTTATCTTCTGCCTTCAACTGGCCTCTTAAATTAACAACCCAGCCAGCTAGTTGTAAGCGCCGACTAATTGACTAATTGCCCAGCAGGCGTCAACGAAAATTTCAACAAAAAACTCTCACCGAAATCCGCCAAGTAATTCCAACTAGACTTCAAGCTAACTCAGCTTAATGAGGAGTAACCTTTTGCTTATGATTTGATCTCTATTGGGAAAAATCTCATTGATATCTTTCAACTAATTCCACTAGACTTCAAAGTTACATAACTTGAGGAATTACATTTAGACTATAGTTCGATCTCTGTAGGGAAAACTCTCATCCAAATACTCTAAATAATTTAATCTAGACTTTAAGCTAACATACACAATCGAGTTTTTATGAGGAGTAACCTTTTGTTTATGGTTTGGTTTAGCTTCCATTCCATCGAAATCTTTCAACTACTTCCACTAGACTTTAAGCTAACATAACGTGAGGAATAACTTTTTGCCCATGATTTGACCTCTATTGGAAAAGCATCTATCGAAATCCTCTAAGTTATTAAATCTAGACTTCAAGCTAACATAACTTAGCCAGAACACAACCAATTTCTTATGGGGAATAACTTTTTGCTTATGGTTTGACTTTCAATGGAAAAACTCTCATCGAAATCTTCCATCTCATTTCACTAGACTTCAAACTGACATAACTTGAGAAATAACTTTTTACTTATGGTTTGACCTCCATTGGAAAAACATCCAACGAAATCCTCCAACCTATCCCTGTAGACTTCATATCAACTTAACTTAATCCAGGTATATCCGATGTTTTATAAGGTCTAACTTTTAGCATAAGCTCTCTTCTTCAATTCTTCATCTACAACTGAAAAGATTTCCATGTGGAATACCTATTTGCTCATGATTCTATTTCTAGTTAGGCTCTGTATTTTAGTTTTAATTCCTTGTTTTAAATTTCTGCAAAATGTGACCGCAAGTTTTGAAGCTCACCTCAGTGCCTTGTACTTTAAGTTTCATGTGATCCTCGCGGGTCGTTTTGCCATCCTTGCGCTTTTTCCAGCAGTAGCCGTCGCGTCTGTAGCGCACCTTCTTGCGCGAGTAGAGCAGCAGGGAGCCGCTCTTCGGTCTGCGGTTAAATCAGAAGGGGCAGACGTAGGGGAGGGGGAAGAGGGAGTGGGGGGTCGTGGAAGATTTGTGTTTATTGCGTTCTATGTAAATGTGGGCCACAATGTGCTGGGCCCAGACAGTGCTAGTGACTCACCTTGTTTTGACTTCTTTTGATTGCCATTCGCTGTGCTTATCAAAGCTGATAAGAATCGCTGCGATTTCCTGAAAGAATGTTAGAAGAAAAAAGAGCAAATATTTGTTAACAAGCAATTAAATATGTGTGTCTGAATACGATTATAAATACGCTCACAATTTGTGAGGCAGCGGAAAGGTACGTGACGTCGAACTAACATGTGGAACATCGCCGGTTCAAATTCCGAAAAAAACTAGTTTTCGAATATCATTCTTATTTGAAGCCCCTTTTGCGCCCGTTTCAAATTGAGCACAACAACAGATTATCTTCCAATAGATAAGCTGAAAGAGTATTCAAGCTTCGGCATTTTTTTAAGCACAAATATTTATCTTCTTCTCGACTGTTTAATCTGCGAGCGTCCTTCAGTTCGCCTAATCAGCAAGTCACGTGTGTTTACCAATTTTAAAGCACAACAACAAGAACAACAACAACAATTGCTGGGCAAATGAATGTTAACCAAGTTAAGTGAACGTGCTAACAATTTCCGAGTTGCTGGAAAAATTTGCTGGCCAAGGCACTCGCGGCATTTCCTGCACGGGGTCCGGCAAAAGTTTGTGCTTCGCTTCTTTTTTTTTTTTGTTTGTTTGCTGCGCATAAAACAAAGGAAAACATTTTAGAAATTTCATTTGACCGCAGCAGCAGCAGCAGCAACAGCGACGGCAGGAAGCAGGAAGCAGGATGCCCCAAAGTGTGACCACAATTTACAGGTGTCGCCGGTTGACACCTGGCCGCCAAGGGGGAGAATGAGTGTGAGTCCGAGTGTGTGCATACTTGAAATGCGTGCAGTTCACAAGCTGTCGGTGGAATATGAGTGGAATATAAGTGGAAAGTGAGAGAGAGAGAGCTGTGAATAAGAAACAGAGCGGGAGAGAGAGTGTGTGTGAGGGAGCAAGCATGTGATGCTGCAGTAAAACATTCAAATGCAAATCACACACACACACACACATGGAAAAAAAGTGGCAGCTGAATTGGAGGGTTGTTGGCAGCGCGGTGGCAACTCTGCTGGATTGCCCATTTGGCATTTCATAGCATGTTTTGCCGATAAAGTTATCAATTTGTTTTGCCAGCCTTGACGTTGCATGAATAATGTAAAGTGGCCACACAAATACACTCACACACTCGCACACACACTCAAGGAACACTCACATTCATTCTCATTCAAAAACCCAAGAACCATTCATCTGTGCCGTCAACAACTGGCAAAGCAGCTCGCGCGCGCACAGCTGGCGACGTCCACAGTCCGCAGTCCTCGTAGTCCTCGCAGTCCTCGTAGTCCTCATAGTCCTCGCAGTCCTCGTAGTCCTCATTGACGATGTGCAGCAACAATTTCATATGTCAGAAATCGCAGCATTTGCGAGTGTCATAAAAATTGTATGCACACACTGAGGCAGCAGCTACACTGCGCGAAAAAAGAGGAACAACAAGAATTTTGAGAGAAGATTATCCAAGGACGGAAGTCCTTGGGCTGAAGCACCGTATGCCTTATATTTCTGAGCACCTTTCTTCCTTTGTTAGTAACTTTCTTTTTACCCAGCAAAGTGTTCAAATATGAAACTTAAATTAAGAAATGTTGCACTTCAATTAAGCAAATTCTAAGCTTATTTCAAGCCAGCAAAAGCTTTTGCTTTTTTTAACATTTTAGTTCATTTTTTCTACAATTTTTCTTTTATTTCAAGTTCTCAAATTCTTGTCATTTAAAGCTTGTAAATTTTTTTTTATTTTCAATTGACTTCATTTGAGTTTCCACCAGGCAGCTTTCACGCTTATTTCACGTGCGCAGATCTTATTTTAAGTTTTTTGTACTTAATCCAATTCTTTGTTACTTTTCTGTAAGATTTCTTTTCAATTTTCGAAGAAATATTCTTAATTTAAGCACATTTAATCACGAAATGGCCTTGAAATTGTATATTGTCTGCCTCTTTTCTCCCAGTGTAGACCTCTAGAATTGGGAGCTGCTGGCTGTGAGGAGCTGGAAATCAGAGGCGCGTGTTTGTCAAGTGGCAAACGTTTGCATTTTGGCCCAAATTGCCTTTGACTTTGCCTATGGCTTTGCCTTTTGCTTATTTATGCATGCCCCTAGCTGGTCTCTGGTCTTGCCACATTCAACTCTTTTGCTCTTTTCTTCCGCTTGCTTTTTATGATAAATTCTAGGCACATACGTAGTTCGAGTAGCTGCGCGAATGGCGCATTAAATATTTATGCGCATCTCAGCGTATTTGCTACAAAACACGCCCCTCCCGGCCACGCCTACCCAGCTTTGAGTTATGCGTGCGGCACTTGCAACACACGCACACACGCACACACACACAAGCACACACACGAAACAATTAGAGTGCGACACACAACAAGAACGAGCTGTTTACAGCTTCTTATTAGCCAAAGCATTCGCAACGGCTGCGTCTCATTATCAATTTAAGTTTTTTGATTTTCAAGCTGCAACATTTTTAACAACGCTGCGGGGGGTTGAGGGGGGTGAAAGGGGACATACTATATGGCCAGGACTTATTTTCGCCAGCTGCTTTATGCCCCTGCTTTTTTTTTTTTTTTGGGGAAGGCCCAGTCTCGGCCAAATTAAAACTGTGTGGTTAAAAAGCCAAAAGCCAAGCGGCCATTTAACGGTCGGGCCCACAGCTGACCCTGGCCACACCCCACCCCCCCTACACACACACACACACTCACACACCCTTCAGCCCGCCCCGTGTAACTGTCGTCCTGTAAGCAGACTAAAATAAGCGTGCGTAATTTTATTTATGCCCCGTACACGGTTACATTTTGTAATTTTTGCATGCTGATGCAGTACATTGGGTAAGGAGAGGGGGAGGGGGAGGGGGAGGTGGGTGCCACGAGTGCGGCAGCCATTGGCCGTAACCCCCCCTCCCTTCTTCCATAGACCTCTCTCGTTTTACTTGCGAAACTTTATATTAATAAACTGTGGCACGGGCTGCTTTATACACTGATTATGCTCGAGCAGATAAAATGTGACCGTACTTTTTAATGAGAGATGAAGATATGCCACTTAAATACCCTGGAAAGGAGTCAACTATCTATGAATTGTACAGTTATCCACATCGTTTCAATCTAGCTTCCATTAGACATCTAAATACATAAGACTAACGTGTATTTCCCAGCCTTAACTGGGCCAAGTTTATTGCCTCAAATATTAGATACTAGTTCCAGATATTTCAGATATATAACTTTCACCCACCCATTTTCCACGCACTGTTGTGGATTTTCCGAAAACAGTGAAACACTTCTCAAATGAATTTTTTATAAACAACTTTAAAAATGCATTTGAGCCCAAGCGGAAGATTGACAAATAAGATCCAACACAAGCTCTCTTCCACCAATTTTCCACACTTACAGGTGAAAATACATATAAATCGTGAATTGCTATCTCGCTTCTTTGCTTGCATCTATTTCTTCTCAATTCTTATTTGGACTAACAGATGTTTTGTTGGTGCATTAAAGCGAATGTTTATCCTCATGTTAAATTTACGGCCCGTTGTTTTGGCTGCTTTTTAATTTAGTCAGCTTGTCGCGCGAGTGTGTTAAATGTCGCTTACTGAATGCGAGCCCCTACCTCTACCCAGCCAACCCCTCCGCCCCCCTCTCCCGCCACACAGCGGCTGTGGCAAAAACTTTACAACTGTCCAAATGAATATTTGCGGTTGCGTTTAATTCACAAGTAAAACAGTCCTCCGGTTTTTTAAGCGCAAAAGTTTTATTGTAAACACAAAGCTGAACTTTGGCGCGTACGTGCGCCGGCCAGCATGTGCTTTAAACTCGCCGCGAGTTCTGTCTCCTGCGCGTCCTGCGAGTCCTGCCCGGAACAACAACAATTTGTATTTGTATTATAGTTTTGTGTCGCATAAAAAAAAAGAAGTCGCGACCATTCCTAATAAACCAGGCAGCAGAGCTGTCTGTCCACAGTCGTAAGTCGGCGTCTTATTAATCCATAGAAAAAGAAGAAGAAGAGTTTAGTAGGAAGCGAGTCCTTGGGCGCTGTCAAAGTGTCCAGCCCCGTGGACTGGCAGGCTCATCCGCCTGTCAAGTGCGCCCCCTTTTTGAATTTGAACCCTGGGGCCCCTTTTTTTCTAGCTTTCAGTTTCGACATTTTTATGTGCAATCAAATGCAAATCGAGGCACAAACAAAAACACTTACCACAAGCACTATATAGCCATATCTTATATCTATATATCTATCTATATATATGTGTGTATAGATGTGTGTATGTTAAACTGACCTCATTTGTATTCCAACGATGTCGCTGCGATGGGAAACTGTCGGCTCTTGGCAGGCTCTCCAAATTGTCGGGCAGTTTGATAGGTTCGCCATCTGGAAAAACCAACGAATGCGAATCAGTAAAAAAAAAAACGTAGCAAATGCAATGAAAGTGTAAGTACGAACGAGCAGTGCACAGTTCGCAATCCTGTTGCATAATGTAAATTGTTAAAAAAAAAAGATCTCTCTAAAAAGAAGAAAGAACCCGCGGCCCGCCGGCCAGGCCAACAGGTGCGGCTAAATGCGACAAAAATGTAAATCGGGATGATTTATAGAATTTAAATGTCAACTTAATAACGTTTCACGACTTGGACGAGACGTAGACGAAGACGGAAAGGGGGAGGGGGACGAAGACGGAGAGGGGGAGGGGGACGGGGACGACTCCTTGCAATCATTTATCACAAGGACAACTTTTGGCATATGTCTTCTTCTGCTGCTGCTGCTGCTGCTGTTTTGCACCGAAAAATGCATTTCTGACCAAATGCGTGTCGCCATGCCCCCTCCCCCCTCTTCGCCCCTCTAAACTTTGGTAGTCATTGAATAATTACGCGCACTTAATGACGCTTGCAACTTGAACGACAAAACCGAATCGAACTTTGCCTCCACTTTCAGCTTTTGGCTTATTAAAATGCCACGCAACTGTAATAATAACAAGTCAATAGGCTTGAAGTTGCGGCTGACCTACTAACAGATACCCTGTAAACATGAAAGGCTCTCTATTTAGGTAAACAATAGGGTTAAAAACTGTTGTAGCTATAGTCATGCGGCATTTCATGCTTTAAGCAACTGATTACAGGGTATCCGGTTCTATAATTAACACATTTACATGGAATAAATAGAACTTCCTGAATAGAACTTCACTCTAAATTCCAACTAGATGTCAGCGCTTCTCTTCCTTCTTTAGCAGCTGAGTCTACCCCTCCGAGCCACACATACAGGGTATATCAATAACATCAACAACAGCTTTTGTTGTGCTCTTACAAATGGGCTATTCGCAATAAACTAGCGACCAAACTGTAATTTAGCAAAAATGTGTAATAAAGCGTCGCGCACTCGAAGAACTAAACGAATATATCAAAAGCCGATATATATATAAGTATATCTATATATATAAGTGTATACATATAAATTTGCTACGTATAGAATGCACTCTCAAGGGTCATAAAAAAAAAGGAAAGAAAAGTATCGTAGAATTTATATAAAGTGCTCAACGTTTGCCCAAAGCCGCGCAAGCGAAAAGTGTTGCCAAATTGCAAATGGCACAGAATGGGGCGGGGTCAAATGCGGGCGAGAGGGGAGCTAGAGCTGGAGCGGGGGGCAGAGACAGTGCGTGGGGAATGCGTCTGCCTCCGGCTCTGCCTCATGATGATGTAGTTGAGTCCCCTTGCCACCCCTCCTTTCCCCCCCGGGCAAATGTGTTGTCAATGTAGTCGTAGACGTAGTTCCAAGTTGTTGTCGTTCGCGTTGTTTATGGCCTTTTTATATGCCGCACGTTGGCAGCAGCCACACAAAGGCAACACACACACACAAACACACACACACTCATGCACACACACACAAACACACACACACACACACCAATTGGCATTTAGTTTGTAATTGATGGCAATATTTTTAGTTTTGATAGCACACTCAAGTTTTATTGCTCAACTAATTTGTCATTTGAAAGTTACCTTGGCTTTAAAATGCCCCAAAGCGATAATTGTCGTAGAATATGAGGTATGCATATACTAGAAGAAATTACCCGGCATCGCCCGGGCAAGAGCTGTCCAAATACAGCCAGATTTAAAGGCCACTCGTATTCCCCCACTTTTGTTGTGTTTTTTGTGTATGATAAGAAATTAAATAAAAAAACACAAAAATTGACAATTCTTGCTAAGTTTGAACCAGCGACCTCCCGCCGCCTGTGGGTCCGACGCTTCGACATTTGCAAAGCTTATATATGTGACTGTCTGGCTTTTGAAAAAATGAAATAATACAAGTATTGAAAATTACCGCTGAGTTTGAACCGGCGACCTCTCGCTTGAAGGTCCGACGCTCCGACGTTTGCAAAGCGCATATATGTCACTGCCTAGCTTTTGATTAAATTCAAAATTACAAATATTGAAAACGACTGCTGAGAGTTTGAACCGGCGACCTCTCGCTTGTGAGTCCGCCGCTCAGGCACCAAAGCAACGCAGGCGCTGACGTTACTTGTGACGGACTTGATTTTGATAAATTCAAAGGACAAACTTTGAAAATTACTGATGAGTTTGAACCAGCAACTTCTTTCCCCACTTTGAATTTGAACCCTGTCTCAGTGTTCCCGCTCAAACCCAAAGAATGGTTTGCCTTGATGCCTTGATCACCAAACAATCAGGAGAAACTCTTTAACACATATAGCTATATATTTGAGTGTGTATATATGTCGAAACAAACGGGTGTATATTTTATTATGCAGTCGCTGCCATTGTTGTGGCCAAAATGTCAAAAGCTGTGCAACGGCAGCAACAACAACAACAACGAGGGAACTGAGCCGAAGAGAAAAACTCTGTTTGATTAATACAAATAAAAAGTTTTTAACTGCGCTTTGCATATTTCATGGCTGACGCTCAAAAACTGACGGGCGAACGCGACAGCCTCCCGTATATAATAGACTGCCCCGGGGGCGTGGCACTGGCACAGCTGCCAAAAAAAACCAAAAAAAAAAAAAAGGCGACTAAAATCCCGAGCTCCATCGAGTGGATTTCAGCTCAGGTGCCATGAGGTAGGTCCCAGGCGCGCCATGTCGACGTCGACGTCAACGTGCAAGGACTCACGGGTCGACTAGTCCTGCCCCACCCCCTTGCCCTCTGCCTGGGCAAAGGATATTTTATTATTTTACGCGCAGTTCTCATAATTTGCAAGCCCTTTCGCTTAATTGTGACAAATGCGCTTTGTCCAGCAAAAGAAAAAAAAAATAAGGTAGCAAGTATTTCGACAAGACTCGCATAATTTGGCGCTTGGCCCACCTGCCCCCCCAGGTGAAAGACACGGGGGGTGGGGGGGGGGGCGGCATTGACAGCGCAAATAGCACAAAAGAGTTGACATAAATAATAAATTTTCGTTTTACGATTTCGCGTTACGCGCAACTCAGGTCGAGCTGCCAATTTGTGGCTGCCAAATTGTGGCTAATAAATATCTGACAGGAGCTTGCTCTCACAAAAAGAGAAACAAAAAAAATACAAATAAAATAAATAAAAAGAAGTATGTTCGCTGTGTGGGGAGGTCAGGGCTTTAGTTGTACAAAGAAAAATTGTTTGCACTTCGCCCAAAAGTCAGCGAGTGTGAAATTACTTTTGTTTAGGCCCTGTCACAGAGAGATCTCGCTCGCACTTGCCACAATTAAAAGCCATTAAAAGCCAGAAATTGTCGGCAAATAAAGCCGAAAAACAGAAGGCACGAGTGCTACGCGCCGGCAAACTTACAAATCAACTGCAGTTGTAAAAAATGCCAAAGCTACCTTTATCTAAAGCTAACTCACGAATCGCAGGTAAATAACATATATATATATATATATAAAGAGAAAACAAAAACTAAACACGCACCATTTCTCGACTGGAAGCCGTTCACTTGATGACGTCTTGGCCACATGCTTCCTACTGAATCCACAAGAAACAGTTTATAAAGCAACATTTGCTCAATTTTAAGTATAATAAAAAGATAATAAAGCATGACGTCGCGATAGTTGTCCAATATATATACGAACAGGAACATGATAAGACGACAGACGTCATCGTTGGAAAGTAACTTCAGGCCAGATAATAACAGACGACCATCATGTGGGGAATTTTGTACAATAATATTGTCCAAAAGATGAGCAATAATTGCGCACACATAAAACAATTCTCGGGAACTTACGGTAGTATATAAACAGAAGAGTATATAAACGAAGGTGGGTTTATTTTCGGTATATCTGCTGGGACACGGCAATCTTAATTGTGCGCTAATCGTTATCATTAGGGTAAAAGTACTTTTTAAATTTAGAAGTTCCTGAGGGAAATATGCATGACTGGAAGATATCTATCGATGTCTCTTACCATGGGCTATACTAGAGATATGTATATAAATATATATATACACAAGATATACTAGTTATACTAGATATTCTAGATATGCTAGATATTCTAGGTATACTAGAAATGCTTGATATACTAGATATACCAGATATACTAGATATACCAGATATACCAGATACACTAAATATACTAGATATACTAGGTACGCTAGATATACTAGATATACCAGATATTCTAGATATTCTTGATATACCAGATATACTAGACATACTAAATATTTTAGATATACTAGCTATTTTAGATATACCAGATATACTAGATATACTAGATATTCTAGATATAGTAGATATTCTAGATATAGTAGATATACTAGATAAACTAGATATTTTAGATATACTAGCTATATTTTAGACTATACTAGCTACACTAGATATACTAGATATATACTATACTAGATTAAGTATTCTAGTAGACTACCTAAAAGACAGATCCTGCCTGAAATATCTTCCTTAGATAGAGGCATGTAAATATCTTATGTGTTTATCAATCAGATATAAAGATATTCTTTTAGATAAAAGGTTAGCAAACTTATATATCTGAAATCTTTTTTATAAGAGACTTTAACGCCTGAGAAATCAAAATCAAACTAGTTTGCATACGATTGGATAATCTTTAGCTTATCTATACTTAAAAGAGAGATCATAGATATTATAACCTGGTATTTATATCGCTTTATCGACTATAACTCTTTCCACAGCAGACTCTTTATATATCTATGATCTCTGATCTATAAGCTAATGTTATTTTCAGAATTTGATTTCTATACAAGGTGTTCTTATTTTTGTGGTCTCGCATAGTTACAGGGTATATAGAGCATCGTGTACTCCCCACAAAGGCAGCTCACAGCACTTAAAAGACACGCATCGCATTTTAGTTTATCTCTTAGCACAAAGTAAACTTTTCTATATATTTACAACAACTACTTATGACAGATGTGCGAGACATGATTTATATTAC